TGCGTAAGACTTATGGCTACATTGTTATGGTGTGCTACGTAAGATGGCGTGTTGTACATAAAAAAATGGGAGTCGCACTCTGAATCTTTTTTTTAAATGCCCACATTGTTTTATACAACGCACCAAGAAAAATGTTTGAAAAAAACTGCAGCTTATACACCGGAAAATACGGTGCTTGGTTTCAGTTTAACGTTGATGGCAAACATTTCTATATTTTATTTTAACAGAATGACATGAAATAGGACAGCTAAAGGCACATTCACACTGCGGAAAAACGCTGGCGTGGGGCGAGTTTTTTTGCTTGTTTATGTATTGAAAAAAGTCTGGCATCATAGAGGACGACATTGCCGACCCTAGTTTTTCCCTCGACGCACGTGCTTCAGCCAGTCGACGAGCGAGCGACCGGACGTGACGTGTTGTCTTTTTCCGGTTAGGACCTGTTTTTGCTGGTTTTATTTTTTATCCAGAAGGAAGGTGAAAAGGCAGAGGGGTCGAGGGATGTGCGCAGTCGCCAAACGTGGCTGGAAGCATTTCAGTCTGTTGAAAAGCCAGCCGATTGGAACAACCGACTCTGAGCAGTGTTTTCTGTGCATGTATGATGCCGTGAAACTAATCGCCATTGTTTGCACGGAAGCCGGCACCGCACGACGAATTTCGCTGTGTGTTCCGACTGCTCGAGAGCTAGCAATCGCCCCCATTGTGTTTTGTGCATTCTTTGTGTGCACGCCACCACTACAGAATACAGTTCCTCTTCGAAAACACTATCGTGCAGGCTGCGTGCATTGCTATTAAAAGCACAGATGCACAGGCATAGCACCGTGCTAAGCTTTGTGACGAAAACGGTTCAAAAGAGCACTTCTGAAGCATACAACTGAAGCTAGTTGTATGCTTCATACAACTGGGGTGTAAACGAATATACAGTGCAACCCACTTACAATGATACCACATATAACGATGTGCCGCTTAAAATTATCATTTTTTAGAGAGTCTAGACTGGAAATGGTCAGTTTCTAGTCCAGATACAACGATAATCAGTTATAACGATTGAAATTTTGGGTTTTCTTATTATCGTGATAAGTGGGTTGCACTGTGTAATCAGCGCCATTGTCCATTCTCTGGGCGCATATGAATTCAGGAAGGCAAGGCAGCAACAACCCTGCGAAACAGACCAATAAAAAAAGCTTGTGTTCACTCGACAATTGTGGGGTTCCCTGTGATGATGCCGTCGAATGGCCCTGTGCGACCTATTTCGATCGCAGCATCGAGATAGACCGAAACGTGCATTTTTTTCTGTGTGAATGCGCCTTAGCTCTCAAAGAATACAAACTTAGCTACGAGTCTGCTTAGATTACAGGGTTTTTTAATTAATTGTTTCTCTGTGTTTATTTTTGCATTGTGTACTCCATTTGTAAACATATCTCTATTCACTACAGTCATTCTATTTCATTTTTTACTCTTATCTCGTTTGCCTTGAACGAAATCTGCAGATGATAAATGTCTAGCGTAATATCCTGAGAGATGCCCCGCCCCATCCCCCAAAGGTAACCCACCCATATTTTTGGCGCGATTTGCTGTTTTCGTTAAAACACATAAAGGTAGCCCATTTCTAGTAATTGCAGTGCCCTGGTCAGTGGTAGCCACAGCAGAAACAATGTTACTCGCCCATGTTGAGAGATGAGCGAACATGACCGACTGGGAACAACAGTGAAGTTTAGTTCGTCATTCCTCCCTGCGATCACAAGTTTCACAGATCACAAAATCTAAAACTAGCACTTCTCTTTTTTTTTTTTTTTTAATTGCCCCGAAAGTTAATTCATTGCATATTTTCACCCTATTTGCTTTCGGTTTTAGGTGGGCCATCTTTCGGGATATGACGGTAATCATACTTCCATTTCGCTGTCCGAGAAATAAAGGTTGCAGTTCAAGTATCCACGCTGTGTTTTTTCATTTGAAGATGTTGCAGATTTATGTTGATCTAAATGTGCCACTGGCAAAGTAGCCCTTTAAAAAGGTTGTGTTACACCATTCATCACAGTGCTTGCTGGAGCCTCACTGTAGCAGCTTTGTCCCCAGGAGATTGACTACCAAGTGGACGTACATATGGTCTCGGAGCGGGTCGCTTTTGATGTCGATTCTGACAATAGCCCAGTTTTTCACGTGTGGTAAAACTTTATGAAGGACAGATTGACCGCTGCGTCAACGACCGCCTCCAAGAACACTGCTCTTCCCTCCTAGACAGTGTAGGACACCTTCCACTGCACTGTCATGCCTGTCGATGCACACCAAACTTTGAACAAACGAAAATTTTAGGAAAATTTCCACATCTGGCTACCAGAGAAATCCTGGAAGCGTACCATATAGCAAATTGAGGCATTGTTGTGTCAGCAAGCCATTGTTAACACTGTATGAGAAGTGCTCTTTCTAGACAGTCCTTTGAACGACTGAGTGTTACCTGAACCTGAGCTCGTTCCTGCATGTGTGCCCTTGTAGGTTTTTAATTTTCTTAAAACATCTTTGTAAACATTCATGTGTGAATGTACTGTGCTTCGTCCTTCCTTTTTAGAGCAAAGCTGTTATATACGCCAGGGTCTGGGGAAAAAATGTGTCCTGCCATGTCAACGGAAAACTCCCCATTGGTTGTGGCAAGTATAAATAAATAAAAATAAAAAAGGGGGCGACCAGCGTAAGTCAGCCTTCCTTGGCATTATTAGATGGTAAGCTCCCGATCCCTTGTTATCATCTCTAGGCATCATCCTCGAGGTTGTCCTAGAAGTCATCCTCAAGGTCGTCCTTGAAATTATCCTAGATGTATTCCTCAAGGTCGTCATTGAAGTCATCCGAGAGGTTGTCCTCTAGGCGTCGTCCTAGAAGTCATCCTCGAGATCTTCCTAGGCGTTGTCCGAGAGGTTGTCCTAGACGTGGTCCTCTGGTAGACGTCATCCTCGATGTAGTCCTTGAGGTCGTCTTAGACGTTGTCCTCTAGGTGTCGTCCTCGAGGTCGTCCTAGACGTCGTCCTCTAGTGAAGTGGGAGGGCTCTACAATTCTTTATTTATGAAATTGTTTTCTTCTTCCTCATAAATATCAGTTGCGAGTCAGCGGTTGTGTGTTTTGTGTGTGTCTCAACCTCGTTCTGTTCTTTGAGCACCGTTTTTTCCTCATAGCCCAATTCCTTCCAGCAGGTTTGTGTAGGAGGCGACATGTTTTTAGTACTACTGTTGCTTAATGGTCTTGGAGCTTTCATCCTTGTCCTTCGATGGAACTCAGTGAAAGTGCACAACCTTGTTCAGTTTTTCTGGCCGATGGCAAATATCTGGTCAGTTTTTCGGTCAGTAGTACAATCCTCAAGATAATTAAAACTCACCTGCTTTTATTTCCAAGAACTATAGGGAAATGTTTACTGAACAAAAAATTTAGTTTAATGCATGGCTAGATGCTACAAAGTATAAGGAATACAATTATGGAAGTGCTTTTGAGATGGAACCATTATTAGTGATTTTAAAGCACATTGAAGGTCACTGTCCAACCTGTGGCAACTAAGTAATGAAACAATAGATCAGCTGAGAAATTTCCTAGGCTTGTACAAAATCTACTGTACATTCTATGCCTCATATTTAGCAACATACTTGAAAAGTTATATTTCTATTTGCCCGAGATGCTGAGATATCCCTCCCACAAATCTGCAAGGAGCCCAAAATTTGTGCTTTGAGAAATAGCATTAACTTCAAGGCAAATTCTACCTGCATAGATATTAAAAATTGATCATGTTTTTGGCATCCGACCCATGTCCCCCCTGAGATATTATATTTGGCTATAATATTGGCCGTGTCCCAAAATTTACTTGATCTTATTCCAGGTTAGTGGTTTTGTACTGTTGCTTTTGAAAACCTTCCAGCGTCGCTCCCGTGACACGAAGTAACCCGCATCCATTTAGGTGAGATTTGGAACACAGCCATTATATTTTGGCATCAAAAGCCTATGTCCCCCTTAACCGTTTTTAGTTTTGGGAAACTTCTGACCAACTGCCTAATTGTTGTCTTCAAAATTACATTTCTTACTACAAGTTTCTAGCCGCAAAAAAATAAGAGCAAAATTTAAAAAAAAGCTTAGTGCTGCCATTTGTTGGCAGAGCCTTGAACTAATCCACAAGTGAGCGTGGTTCGTCCAAAACGGCCGACTGCGTAAATTGGGGAAATTATACGCTCGTCCTGAACGGTTTGGGGCGGCTCGTCCAAGCCGTTTAAGGGATTAATGCATGTGAAGACATACTTCATTGACCAAGCCTATGGAAAGGAGACTGGAGTCTAGGAGTTTGAATCGATTTTAATGTGCTGGTATCTCGGAATCTGTTCTTGTTTTGGCAGTATAAAGCCTAGGCATATGCTGCACTCCAGACAGTGTATGGAGCACAGCATCTTCCCTGTGTATGGCATCAGCAGCTGATATGTGGGCCTCATCATGTGGTCGCATCCTGGCTACAAGGGGGTGAACCCCTGCAATTTTTTAAAGTCTTTTCCGAGACTGTGTGTCAGTGTGGATAAAAAGATGCCTTGTTAAAACTCTGAGGGGTACTTGGCGGAAGTGGCCGAGTAGTTTCGTAGCCTCTTCAAATGGACTTGGAAATGATTTGGGTATGCTGTCAATGTGACTCGTGTATTGAAACGTGTCAGGACCACTTCCAATGCACAATTTGAAAAAAAAACGAGGACTATTTGACAGCCTTGCCAGCATTTTGGTGTTTACTGCGAGCTGTGGGGCACTGTGCGGTGTCTCCAAGGATTCCTTGCCTCCACCTTGAGCGCTGCTTCATTTAAAGTGTGCCACATCCGCGTTGTCGATAATGAAGAGCAGCTTATTAATTGCATCTCTTTGGACGTAGCGGTAAATTTTTTCCCATCTAATTTAAAAGAAGCACACCGCACTCAGCTACCCGAGAACTTTATTCTGGGTGTTACCGAGCCCAAGAGTCGTAGCTCATTAAAAAGACCGGCTCGGACGCAAATGCCAACTAGTCATCTTTATTTGTACGTCCGTACGGAAACTATAGAGGGACCCCGATGCCTTTAGTGGTGCTGGTGCTCGGGCTGGGGCTTCCCGTATTTCTTCTCCCAGTTTGCTATGTACTCCTTCTTGCGCTCCTCTCGCCGGGCAAAGTACTCGGGGTACTGTGCCTTCTCCAGGGGATGCCAGTAGTCCAGCACCTGCGGGGAGAAAGAGTCCCTCCCGCCACTGGGCCCGGAGCAGTGGGGGTCGACACCCCATGTGGGAACAAAGGGAGATCCCTTCGGCTCCATTCCCTCTCAAAACGGAATGGATGAGCGACGGACAAGACCATTCCCTAGACAAGGAAAATCCTAGAAACGGATTTTCCTTGTCTACATGTTTGAAATCATCCAGTAATGCGCCCCCAGGGAGGCCACATCTGCCTGGAGTTTGCTTTGCCTGCGCACACATCTACCAGTTACTGCCAAGTCAAGGACATTGTCCCCGATTAACCAGCTATGTTGTAAGGTGGGGTGGCATCTGAGGGACCAACTGGATGCTATCGGCCAGCACGGTTGTTGCAGCACCAAACACAAAACCGCAGGACCTCTGGCATGTTCGTTTGCTGCACGATGGCAATGATAACTCTCTGAGACTGCATCATTCGCACGATGGTTAGATTAAATGGCACTTGCCCAGTCAGGGGACGCGACATTTCTGCCGTAAGCCACACCTCCCGGCCCATGTGGAGCTGCAAAAAAAAATTAATCGTGATGCATACATTGCTGCACAAACAATTACTAAAGTGTGTATGGGAAAACTGACAACCATGCAGTATTAGGTGATCAATCCTCCTGAGCTTCCACGACGTGTGGCCTACATCGAACTGCCAGTATGGCAACGCAATGGCTGGCAATAATCTTTTGGCCAGTAGCCAGACAGTGGCCAGCTATTGGCCGATAAGTGGCCTGCCATTGGCCATCAGCCGAACATTCGTTGATGAAAGGCCACTCTTTGGCCATTGGCCAAAAGACAATCGTGAGCCATTGGCAAATGCTCGACCAAAATTTGTGCTGCTAGGGAAAGGTTTTTGTGTACTCGACTACTCAATGAAAAGCTTTCTGTCTCGCCTTGCGGGGGTGCAAAGCGAGACAGAAAAAACTTTTCGTTGAGTAGTAGAGTCCCTCCCCCTTACCCTTGATGCCCCATTTTCAACTCTGACGCGCGTTTTACATTCAGCGGTTCTGCAGCCAAAATCACTACCGCTAGCAGCGCTGCGGCACAAATTGCAAGAGAACAAGCATATTTGCACAGACCAGAAAGGATAAAGCAGTACTTATTGAAAATCTGACAACATTACGTGGCCTTCAGTTTATTTTGATTGTCCATGCACAGGTTTCATTTCACATGCGTCATCCGTGAGCATTTTCAGCCACTGCAATGCCCAACATTGCATGCAGCCTGGCACCCTGGGTCATAGCCTCCTGTATACTCTGTGCCTGTCAAATCTCTCCCGGAGGGACGTCGTCTTTCCTACTCTCTTGTATGTTCCTCCTCTCTCTCTTTGCTTTGCCCAACACAAGAGGGCGCTGCCAAGTGAGGACCCAGCCGCCGAAGCAACACACCTTTCGGCGCTATGAATTCAAAGCTGCAGAGGAACTTTCGCAACGTTTCTCTTGTTCTTACAACACTTTACTTGTGCAGTTGAGTCGTTTCCTAGTTGGGCTTACGTTCACGAGCCCTTAATGCTCGTTCACCGCTTCTTGTAAGGTAAGCTTATGCAACACCTTCAAAATATTTGCAATTTCAGCAGCAGCGCCCACGTGAGAATCGCATTGTGATGACGCATTTAACCCTGATGCGCTATTACGGAAGTTCCAGTGCTCTCTTATTTCTAGATTTTTTGTTGATAGTAAAAAAAGGGTGCTAGAAGCTTGCTAGACTTCTCAGCACCTCGCAAGATTCAGGCATTCATAAGCGAAAGCAGCACAGAGGCTAATCAAGTAAATTTTGCCTTCCTGAATGAAGACTGACAAAAACGATGTGTACAAGGCATTTGCCAAGAAGCCACTGTCTCGCAAATATGGAAAACTGTAGGAAAAAACGTGAACTGAATACATCCTTACCCATGCAACTGGCATGTAAAATAAACCCTGTATTGTATACCTTTACCATCCATTTTCTCCTCAAATCGTATTGATCCCCAAGATGTTTCCTACACTTGTGTATAGAATATACTCTGAAATGTAATCTATTACCTCTTGCCTTCCCATTTGCAAAAAGCCTTCAAATACGTTGGAACTTGATAAGCCTCGTCATTTGAGGACATAAAGAGTGGCAATAAAAAAAACTTGCTCCCTATAAGCTGTCATCTGGCTGGATGAAACAAATATTTTAAACCTCTAACGAGGTTGTGTTATTTGATAATTTCAATATTGCAGCTAAAACAATCAAATACACAAATAAAAAAAAAATCTTTTGGGCCCACTTCAGACGGAGCAACTTGACGTCGCAACACCAGCAACATGGGCCGCCCGCATTCACACGCAGCAACCGAATTGCTACGACTAGTCATCATCATCATTCAATTTGATTTTTCGTGCACTATTTAGACGCACAGCTATGCACTAAAACATGTTTTTACATCTTTAAATGGTGTTGAGAATACTAACTCATCTTTCTTAAAAGGTTTATTTCAAAAAACGATCCATTTCAAACCAGAACTAAGTCTATAGCTGTCATCATCACCACCACAGGGGTGTCACGTGAAAATATTGCGTCCCTGATTGGCTGCTGCCGCTTCAAATGTCTCCGAGTTGTTCAAGTTGCTCGTCCATTTCGAGCCGGACCCGATCTCAACAATTCGTGTCGATCTAGGGAAAGCTAGGGAACAACCCGCCAGCAACCTCAAAATTGCGGGAAAAGTTGCCCCGTCTGAAGCGGGCCTTATGCTCAGCTGTTGATTTTTTTATCTATTATATACTGCCACACTGCTCACGGAAATACTGTGCTTTGTCATTTAATACTATATTTCACGTGGCACCCTTCAGTATTTTCCAAATGTGGTATCTGTAATGACATTGTGATGTTAGGTGGTGTGAAAACTGTCCAGGCTGTCCAAATCAAAGCTATTCCGGTTCCGCTTGCCTTTGCGGCGTCGCTCGCAGCAATGCCAGCAAGAGGAAGTGAAACGACGAAAAGTGCAATTGTACATTATAGGGTTCGCTTCTTAAAACGCTTTCAGCCAACGATGCTGTAAAGTTACTAGCGTAGGTAAAACTCAAAAACAAAAATGAAAGACGTTTACAATCCCCTGTAACGCCGAATTAGAGTGCAGCTCTTGAGGAGGAGGAGGGAAGGGTACTGAGGGGAGAAGGTGGAAAGTCCCTCACTACTAACATGGATGTGGATCGACGTGTGCTTAACGCAAGTCGCAGAAAGTGCACATCTTTGGTGAGAGCGTTGCGTGTAAATTTGGCAGGAATTTAGCGGGACAATTTTTTCCCCTAACTTTAGCAGGGAATTTTTTCCACTAGATTGAGCGGGGAAAGTTTTTTCGGTAAATTTAGCTGGGAAATGTTTTCCGCTAAATTTACGGAAAAATTTTTCCGCTAGCGGGGAAATTTTTTCCGCTAGCGGGGGTTTTAGCGTCATCGTCATCAATGACATCATCAGTGACTATAACGTCATCGTCGTCGCGCAATTACGCCGACGGCGAAGCCGCTTAAGCCGGAAATGGGCGCCTAAGAGCTGCGCTCTAAAAACACAAAATATACCCGGCAAGAGGTTAGATCATTCAGTCGCACCTTTCAAACGCCTCTGGACCTATCGTGTCGGCTGCTACGAATCCTCACATGGTGGCGCCCCCAAATGGCGTTACGCAGAGCCGTATATGGGGAGAGTTTAATCAGTCTATGATCTCGCCGCCGTAACGCTCTCCTCCCAAGTGAGCCAATCAGCACGCGGTGTAGAGCGAGAGGCATGAGTGTGATCTCCCGGCTGCTCCCACCTGAGTGGGGAGGGCCGCCATCTTCTATCATTCTCCTGGCGGAATGCGTGGGATCGGCATCTAGATCTCGATTATTGCCTTTTATATCGCTGGCTCTGGCAAGAAAATGACATTCTGTTATTTCTCGGTGGGTTAAAAAGCTAATAAATGAAGATTTTTCGCCGTATGGGCACAAACTTTTATTCAGGCGAAAAAGAAGTCGGCCCGTAGCAGACGACGCGTAGCCTCAGCAGTGCTCTTCTCCGACAGCGTTGCTAAAAAATGGCGGTCGTCTCCTCTCTGCTCCCTTCTTTCTCTCTCGCTCCTTCGGCGCTCTCCTCTCTTTCATTTACTTTTCTCCTCTCCGGCGCCTTCGTCGCCACACCCATTGGCCAAACTCTCCCAATATACGGCTCTGGCGTTGCGGCGACGGAGTGCAACTGCTTTGACGGTCAGCCCCCATTGTATTCGGCGCATTCTGCCAGGCACAGAGTATAGACCGTTCCACTAAGAGCGGAAAGAGAAAAAATGCCCTCTCCCTCTCACCGCGCGCGTCGTTTGCTCCGCTGAGTGGGCTGTGCCTAACATCCTGCTGGTGTTCAAACTCTGTTTAAAATTGTGTCATTTTGGAAATTTAAAGCGCAGATGCACGGATTTTGATATGCAAGTTATTGTGTAAAGCTATGCTCGATAAAAAGACTAACCGAGTCTAATTGCAACGTTTCCTGCGTGCGAATAAAATAAAGGGAAAAACTGTGTCAGAGTGGCCAGTCGCTCCGGCGAAAAGTAAATCCGGTTGCTGTAGCTATTTTACTATACGAAGTTTGTACTGCTGTAGGTCTTTAGCGACAATAAGTGGAAGTCTGGAATAATAAGTAATAACGTGCTCTCCTGGCGCAATAGATGCAGTGGTTGAGGTGCCGGCTGACTCCACTGCTATTGAAGCAACGGAACAAAGATACTGAAATAAAACAGCAAAGCGCTAAAGGCTGATTTTGGAGTAGCCATAAATATTCTAACAATGTGAACCACTCCATAACGCCAGCCACGAGCGAGAGTTTGATGACCGGTACAGCCCGCCGGTACAGCTATGGTGCCTGGATCGCGTCTTCGACTGGTGTGTTTAGCGTTCTATCCCGCCCATACATCAAAAGTGGTCCCAATGTGGCAACAAATGACGCGAGTGTCATGCTGTTGCCTGTCGCGATCCTGGCGGTTGGCCGTAGAAATGCTGGCGAAAAGCACGAGCGAACGCGAGTGTCGCTTTCGTCACGGCGTCCCTTTAGGCGTCCCAACTTCCGGATGCTCCAGCTTCCGTGAACTGTCACAGTGGAAAGCGACCTGCAGCAGAACAGGCGTCTGCCACTTTTACCACAACTATTGGGGCGCCGCCAGGGTCGCAACAGGCGACAGCATGACACTTCTATGACGTCATCAGGCGGAAATCGAGGGACCACTTTTTTGAACCCGGTAAACACACCAGTCGGAGACGCGTTCCAGGCACCATAGTACAGCCAAAGATGGAGAACAGCAACCTCCTGGTTTGTCGTCTGCTAGCATAGTCGGGCGCCTGCCCTCTCTCTCTTTTCTTACCCGCCGAACTTCCCGGATGTATGGAGAGGGCGCTGCGGTCTAACAAAATGGCGCCGCCCTGAGAGTGCTTAATGGAATGGTCTGTAGAGGAGTATGCCAAGGTAAAGCCGTTTCTGAGTCCGATATCATCGAGTGATTCACTCGGTAGTCTGCGTTTGGCCACTCGCGGACAGGGTAAACCAGAATGCAACGCAGGCAGCAGGTGACTACACCGGGCCAAGCAGCAGCAAGGGCTCACGGTGATAGAGTTGAGGGTGCGCTTTCTCGAACAGCTCCTCTTCGCCTTGGTCCAGCAGCTCCTTGGCGATCCGCATATCCTTGATGTGGCGGTAGTTCTCGAACCTCTCCCGTAGCTCGACCGCCTGGATCCTGTAGTCGTCTCTGCAAGCAAGAGGCCATCCGCCTCAGTACCCCTGTCGCGTCCTCTAGAGTCCTTCACGGAGGATGCTGTACCTTTCGACACACCATGCTTCCAGGTTTCTTAGGGCCCTTTTGTACAGGCTGCACACCTGGAATTTGTGCGAAACGACTCGAGTGACCAAATGAGCCATGCGAATACCCTTACCGCCCTAAAATTCCCCCAAAACCGGCCAAAAGACCGTCTGAAATCGCGGTACTAGAGGTGCTGGCTAGGCTTGCACGATTCCTCTTAGAATCAGCTTCAAATCGTGGTTACGTCGTGGCGCTTTCGTACGGCTGCTTTTTAAAAGATTTAATTCTCGCCACCGATACTGGTGGTATTGGTGGCATGAATTAAGCCAAATATAAATTTGTATTTTCAGTTATGTGTAGCCGTTTCTGGGTGGTAGCAGAGCGCAGAGCCGTGTGGTTGGTGTGGTGGTATAAGACACCCCAGGTGGCGCAAGCTATTAAGCCCATTTATACCCATTTACGAATGCATGCAAATCACCTTGATGCAAATCATATGTGCAAATCCGAAATCGCGACATAACACAGTTTTCCAAATCAACCAGCAAAATTTGAGTGAGAGGGCAGCCAAGCTGGTGAACTTACAATTACCATCTTGATGAATTACCCGAGGCTAGGCCGATCTTCGCAGAAAGAACAGGAAAACAGCAGCCATCTCTTCTCATGTGGAGTCTTCTCAGCGTTGGTTGAGTCTTCTCGACCTCTCCTTTTTCAACAGACAGGTACTGTTCTAATATACCTTGTAGGTGAGATTATAAAAGTATTGACTCGTTGAGGCGATAGCGACCGCCACCGAACTGCCTGAACTTACGAAGCTCAGTCGGCGGTTTCCGCGACGATCAGAGGATCACATTTCGGCTCGGGACGTTTCGGATCGGACTTGTCAGCGCGAGGTCATTTTGGCACGCGGTCCTTTCGCATTTCGTATTGAGTAAATGGTCGCTTCTAAATCTCTGCGCGGATAAAAGTTCGATCGGCCGATCCGCATCCTTTGTGTCCGCATCCGAACCGCATCCGCAAAATTAATGAAGCGAAAAGCCTCTGGATGCGGCGGATGGGTTAACGCGTCCCCCCCCCCCCCCCCCCCCCCCTTCCGTTTTTCGCTAAAACGTCGATTCGCTCAGATATGGACCCCCCATAGTGACCTGTTTGATCGTATTTCGTATTATAAGCGACCACCCTTCCAGACACACTTCAAGCGATCCACATAAGCATTGTTCGGATTTCTGAGGTGTACAGCAGGATGCAATGATGCCCTTGACATGAGGGCTACACTGAATGGCCTTGAGAAGATGCTGAAAACTGGCCTCATTGCATCGTCCAACCAGAGCAACGTGGCCAGCTCGAGCTCATACCAGACCGGCACTCTGGTCGGCAGCAATTCAGCGAAGGCAACCACCAGCTTCCCACTGATAGCTGAAGAGAAACTTCGGGAACTCTGCCTGTCCCCAAGGCCCCAGCAGCCAGGCCCTGGAGCTGCAAACATTGGCATGGTGGGAGGCTTTATAGCAAGAGCTATTTCGTAAAAGATCAACTGTGACAGCTGCATTGCTCTTGTCCTAAAGCCAAAGTCCAGTGCACCTGTAGATGGTTTAATCGCCTATCGAGATAGAGGAGGACTGTGCTACACCACATCTGAGCTCATCACTGCCCTGACAGCACTGCAGCTCAGAAAGAACATTGTGAAGCATCTGCAGACAAGTGTGGAATGTGCTCTACAAGTCAGGATGGACCTGCCCATTTTGACGTGCAGAAGTGGCAACAGACAACACCAGCAGCTCTTCTTGGAACTGTTCTGCATGAAGTTTGTGAAGCCCCTTCTCACAAACTATGCAGCTGACATGACGCACAAGAACTGTCGCAAAACTATACGGCGCGAAGCTCTTGTCAAGGAAGTTCGTGGAACTTACCTAATTTGTGGTCAATAATCACTTCTCAAAATTTCGTTTGCACTAATACGCTGTTTTTTATTTAGGCAACTGTGATTGAAATTCAGCCACCGCGTTAGGGCGGTTCATTTCAAAATGCTGTTATTAAGTGCAGCTTAAACGGCATCGCCAAAAAATTTTCGATCAGAGCTTTTTTAATTCACTTCCCAACTTACCATATTCAGTTGCCTCACGTACAGTGTTACTTTTAATCGCGATTTGCACCTTAAGTTACTTACATCTGATGTTTTATTCGTGTACACGAGGCTCTGGCCGCGCGAAAGGCTCGCTGGGGATCAGGGTGCCTTCATACACTTTCGCCACGTCTGTCTTAGGGTGGCGGCATCTCGGCCATTTTTATGCCCAGAATGCACGCGCTTCGATCTCATTCGGAGCGAGCGCTTAGCCCTGCCCGGTGCTTTGGCGCCATTTTAAGGACCATTTGGATAGGATTGGTGAGCCGCCTGGTGTGGCAGCTTGGATTCGCGCGTGGCAATGAAGACTGCTGGCCACCCTGGTCAAGAGCGGGATACAACCCAAAAAATAAGCAAAAAGAAAGCTTTTTTTTTTCCTTTATTACGTCTGTTTTAAGTAAACACTATTTTCAAGACGTGAAAATAAAAAAAAAAAAAAAAAAAAAAACGGATGAATAATGTCTTTATTTAAGTGAAACAATAAAAAAAAAATAAAAAAAGTGTCTAGCGTTACGTCAAACGGAACCTGAAATAAAAATGAAATGACAAAACAGGAAATTAAAAAAAAAAAAAAGAATGCTGAGCTTGATGTCTTTGCCGGGAATGCTTTCTGAACACTCGCGGACGTTCAACCCAAGTATTAAGAGAAATAGAAGGGTAATGTAATATGATGTGTGCTGTTTAGAGCAGCAAGGCTTTCAGCAGACTTGTCGAAAACTGGCGCAATCTCCACGTACCACTCGGGTTGCTACGCGTGCTAGCTTTGACAGTGTTTTGTTTCAGATTGTCTGAAATAAAGAACTGTTTGAGAGAGCTGCCCGGGGTGTGACAATGACAGTAGACCCTCTGCCCTTAGCCATATCAACTTTGCTCTCAGCACGAGCCAGCAAGGGCTGCAAGCTGGCGTAACAAATGCAGCAAAAAAGGGGGAGGGGAGATTCGGTGGTTTGGTTTCCATTTGGTTAATGTTACGTCACGTTTCCTTTCAGTGCTGCAAACAGCGAGAAGTGTTTTTAGATCGGAAAAAGAAATCGCAATAAATTGTCTCAAAAGTAAAAATCATAAAAGAAAGAAAGATATGTATGCGACGGGCACCGAGTCCTCCCGGCTTCAGCAGCCTCCATATGCGAGGAACACGTCTCAGCCCCCTCGACAAACCTGGAGGCACGAATGTGGCTCATTCACATGGCGCGATTTTGCTTGCGACTTTGCAGCTGCAATATTGAGCACGTCGGCTTCCACCGCGCTTCTTTGGCCTCATGAGTGTTGTCGCAACTGTGAAATCGCAAGTAAAATCGCACCATGTGAATCCTGTGGTTTAAGTGAGCCTGCCTGTTCCATTAATTTGCTTTTTATAGTCTCGCAGCAACACTAAGATGCTTGCTCCAAACATTTGTTAATAACATCAAATGCAGCCCTACAATCAAAGTGCTTGTAGCATTTGCCATTGGCTTCCCGCATCTTCTGCGACTTAGGATTGGTGTTGGACGGGGTGGGGTGGCAAGACACCGGGATTCAACCTCCGCAACTTGATGCTTTTCTTGCAGTCTACTCGCTTGAACTAAAGACTGCAGATTTTGCTTCGGTTGTTTGGAATGGATGGTTGTTTCCCTTGGCCTAGCTGACACCTTTCTGTAAGCAAGCAGTGACAGCATGTAAACAAAATACTAGAAGCGTGCACACTACCACGCATGTTTGTTTATTATTGTATTTGCTTTTATTTCTTCATAATATTGGGCCTTAAAACAGACCTCGCATTACATTCAGAATTGAGCTCAGCCACGTGGCACATGGTTTGGGGGAAAGCCATCCCTTCAACTGAATGCATGAGATTGGGTGTGAAAAGAAAGGGGTGTGAGGAGGAAAGTTAGTAGTCATTTCACCACATGAAGGGAGGAACTGAGAATGTAGAAAACATTCTTCGTCACTTTCTCATGTGCGACTTGTTTTAGGACGGTGCTCTTAAATCTTGGAGCGATTTGTATTTACTCTAATTTTCTTGGAACTGATCACATCTCTACCATGCTAGCAATGTGACAAAAAAAAAAAAGCATGTTGTCATGAAACGTAAGGTATTCTTTTGAACTGTTGATGTCAGGTGGCTCCAGCTAGTACCCATTAATAGAGACACAGGCATTGTGTTTTCTCACCCATTCATCATTGTAATCCCCCATTGGCAAAACATCTGGATGTGTCCAATATGTGCCTTCCTTATACGCTCCGTGCGGGAACTATAGGGGGCGCTTTGAAAAACGCGCGCGGCGCCGCTAGCGGAGGAGCTGGCGTTCGACAGTGAGGCGCGTTCAGCAGCCTGCGGCGCCTTTTCGCATGCCAAGCTGTGGCGGCGTAAGCGCGCACGGACGAAACTTTTGCTTTTTGAGCCGATACGCTGAGGGTGACATTGCACGAGTGCTGGGGCAGTAGGGCATTTAGCTGTTCTCCACTTCTTATATATTGAGTTTGAGTTGTTACTAGGGGTAATTTCTCTAGTTGCGGCCGAAAAAGGAGTTGGAGAAATTTTCTGAAAAGCAAGACGGCCGCTACCATAAATTGCTCTGAGTGGGAAATTTATTTCGCTCGTCGCTGTAAACGTAGGACTGCTGGAACAATGATATTTTGAGGCGAGTGAGATGTTCACTAAGTTTGTGCACGAAGTGTGCCAAGTTTCATTAAGACAGCAGGTGTGAAAGTTATGTTTCTAACGAGTAAAGAAATAAAGCAGTAGGGGATATCCAATATTGGACCCAAAATGTTCTGTTATAGCTGGCTGTGCAAAGCGGAGATTTGGGCACACAGGTGCTTGGACCTGACAGGAACGTGACACAGCACTTTTATACCAAAAAGAGGTGGCATAGGGAAACCAGGTGGAAATTTGATTTGGGCGGGATAACTCAATGGGAACCGGTTTTGACCGTGAAAGGGCTGTCAAGAGAATACTACTGGGCGTGGGAGGTGGAGATTTTACAGGTCGGAAGGAACTAGTGGACTGTACTTGCAATTGAAACAACTTTACGAAAAGTGGTTCCAAAGCCGAGAAAACAAAGTTGTTGGCCAATACACGGTTTGGCCATCAAGGGCCTTTGTGGTCGGCTGTTCTGTAATAACCTGTTGTTCGAGGTGCTGATTTTCGGCGCACAGGTACTTTGACATGACCGTAACTTGACACAACACTTATTATACCACAAAAAGGTAGCATAGCGAAACCAAGTGGAAATTTAGTTTGGGCGGCGCGTAACTAAATGGGAACCAGTTTTGCCCGTCAAAGGCTGTTAAGATAATACCACTCATCGTGGGAGGTGCACACTTTACAGGTAGGAAGGGACCAGTGGACGGTATACAGTTCGAACAACTTTGTGATAGGTGGCTCTAAAGCCGAGAAAAAAAAAATTGTCTACAGAACTCGGGGTGTCAGCGTTTCCACATCTAAATGGAGCCTGATGAAAAAAGAAAGCACACCACATAAACTTCCATACTCAATCGTCGATTCTCCAGTGATTCCGAGTTTCATTGTTGTTTTCTTTAGATTCATATTTGTCACTTTTGTTTTTACCGTTCGAATCTTTCTTCATGAAGTACAGATTGCGTGCCATACTTGTCCGGAAATATCATCGACACGTACGATGGGGACGAAACTTCTTTGGAGGGCATTCGTCCAACGAAATTGACACTCCATACCCGCGTGTGTGGGATGGCATTTCAGATCGTCCCATCGGCGCTAACACATGTAGGCGTTACTGATACGAAAACAAACGCAGAGCGCAAAGCGGCAGTGTAGAATATGTCAGTCGTGCCGACAGAGTAGCAGACATATTCGGGAGACCAAATGTTTCGCGTCGTACGGCACGGGTCCATCATTGCCGCTGTCCCGCCAAACATCGGCGAGGTGAAAAACTGTGAAACTTTGTTCCCACGAGATACGACGCATAACTATTGAAGCACTTCATGCTGTGAACCCAGCGCAACTGCACAGCTCCGACTTCAATGCGGACCAACGTACGCAGCGTGGTTTCGGTTTCGTTTTCTCTGGGGTTCTCACTGCCTACCTTCGGTACCTGCCGCGCGGCGGCGCGCCAGTCGCGTCGCACGGAGTGTATAGTGCCTGGTTAGCCTGATGTGCTTGGTGGCTGTGCTCGCTTTGTTCTTAATGTCTGTAATTGGTCTTTGCATTTGGTCCTAGGCATCTCAAGGGGTCCTCTGCCTCTTTCATGATCTGGTGATCTGTCTTACAAACCTGGCCACAGACGGCACTTCATATGGAACCGATTCAGTCCTCAAGTTTGGGTAAGTTCTTTCTTTCAACCTTTTTCATAGACAGAGGGCAGTGGCGGTGTCCACGGCGGTTGGTCACAGTCGTGAGCGGCGCTTCTCGTGCGGCTGTTCTCAGCCTCTTGGGGTCTGCGCTGGTTCAGGGGTCCTCCACCAGGGATGCGTCCTTGGTGCCCAGAGCGCAGTAGACCTTTTCGGAAAATCCCACAAGGCCTCTTGTTAATCCAAAAATGCATCGCGCGGCACGGGAAATTGTGGAACTTTTACGATGTGCGCTCGGGCCGCTTCGTGAATCCTAGAAGCGGTTCAATGTGTTTTTTTTGCCACTGCGAGTTCAGAACACAAAGAACACCAAGTGAACACGTCAGAAAGCCGATATGTAATAGAAAGTCCTATGCGTCACGCGTTGCCTTAAGAAAGCACACACTTCTGGGCCTTTAAACTCGTCAAACACAAAGTTGGGACTGAAGTTGACGGAGCGCACCGATTGGCCTGTCACAACGGTGACTTCACACCTTTTTTGCCGACATCCAATCGGCGCGCTCCTCGAACTTTCGGCTCCAACTTTGTGTTTGACGAGTTTAGTCTGACTGAGATTTTGTTTTAGGGTTTTTGTAGCAAGAACAGTGTTTCTTAATTTATATGTTTTGTGAACATATTCTAAACTAATCACCAGTTGCAATATTTTGTAAAATTTGGATTGATTATATTATTCTTGTGCTGTGAGTAAAAGGTAAAAGGTATAAAACCATAAAAGGGGTCGCAGGTCAGTATTTCACATGACCTTTATCCGAGCAAAAGAAAAAGCTCCAAGAACACACAAATACCAGCACTGATTTTTTGAACGAATACAATATTTTGAAGAACCTGTCTTCAAAGGGACACTGAACTCTCCAAAATATTTTTAAGTTCCTGGATTGGGCATGCATGTCACAAAATAAAGAGTCTGCAATCAATTTTTTTAGCATAATAATTAGGCTGTGAGGCACATCTTGAGATGGGAGAGAAACCGAAATGAACACCTGTATAGATAAATTTTATCCAAAGTAGAAGTTAGTTTCGGTTTCGTTCCTGAATTAAAACGTGCCTCTCAGTGTAAATATTATGCTAAACACCATTTTTGTTTTCAGTATAAAGAGGTAACCTACGTGCACACTCTAGCTTCCTCGTAAAAGGGTAAATAATTTGCGTCGCTCAGTGAAGCCAGCACACTAGAAAGGGCTCAGCAACTGGTATACGAGCACGCATCTCCGACCCTCACTATAACCGCCATTTTTGAAAACAAGTGGCGCCACCTATAGGCTTTGCAAATAGCTTTTACTGAGACCGACTTTCATTAACTGGAGTTGTGCTGTCTAATTCAAATCTGTCCTATTAAAGGGATCATAAAATATATCTGCCAGATTTTAATATTTTTTTACACTCTATAAATCACAAGGACGGTGACTTCTGAGTATTAGGGCGCAATACTGCATCTGCATTTCATAAACCTGCCCCACCTTACAGCTTCTGTAGATTGGTACATTAACCATTCAGAGTGCATTGGTGTTGTGCATTGGGAAGCAAGGGAACACACATATTGCTCCATCCCAGAGTACTCATTATTGTTATAGGGAACCCTATCATTTCTAAAGTTACCTGAAAATCGTTTGCTATTGTCATGAAGAAAATATATTCATCAGGACTGTAAAGCTAGTAGTTGTCTAACAAGCATGCTCAGCATGCTCCTAAGAATGACAGCATGCACTTGAGCATGACAGCATGCACATTGCCGGCAGAGATCGTTGACACACTTAAAACCAGTTTTCTTTGGGTAATCTGGAATTCACAAATATCTGCCAATATTGATGAACTCTACTCATTTCATTTCCTTCAGTTACTTATGGGGGAACTATGGTATTGGTAGATCAAAACTACAGTGGTCAAGACCATTAGGCATGAATAATTACAGACAAGGGCTGGTCTGCATGGTCACAAAGTCAAAAGCACACAAGGTGGTACATTATTAATTTGAAATGTGCTACCAACACAAGTGTATAGCATTTATGGGATAAAATAAGTGCTTAAAAAGGCTGGTTCATGCTAACAAAAGTTAATGGAATCAATTCTTTTTCAGTGCTTCCCTGAACTGATATAAAAAGGCTACAAAATATTAAACCAATCAGCTGCAACATAGTGGCTATCTTGGTTGGGCTTCTTTTATTTGTCCTAAAACACGCAAGTCTTTTCTTTTAGATGATGGAGCCACAGTGTTTGGGAAGACCAGCTGCCCACTGAAAGCCTCCGAGGACATCATGTTCAGGTGCTGTTTCTGCACCCATGTCACCACAGATCAGCGTGGAATAGTAGGCCACTTGGTTGGCCACGGTGATGAACAGTTCAAGTTCCAGCGTCTTCCCATATCATCTGGCTCTAGGTTCAGATTGTGCAGCCATAGTCGGAAGCATACAGGTAACAAGTTGTTTAGGTGCAAGCAATGTCCTAAAGTCTTTGCTCAGAATAGGGATCTAATTCTCCACCGTCAAACACACACACGCGAAAAGCGATTCAGTTGCAAGCTGTGCCCGCAAGCTTTTGCTCAAAATATTGACTTGACCCGCCATAATCGAACACACACTGGTGAAAAACCATATAGATGCAAGCATTGCCCTCAAGCCTTCAATCAGAATTCCCATCTGACTGTCCATAACCGAATTCACAGTGGCGAAAAACCTTATAAATGCAAGTTGTGCCCCCGAGCTTTTACTACGAATAGCGCTCTGGTCATTCACAATCGATGGCACACGGGGGATTTTCCTTTCAGGTGCCATCTATGCCCTCGAGTATTTGTTCAGAATGGGAATCTGATCCATCATTATAAAACACACAGGCGAAAAGCCACGCAAGCACGAGCAATACACCAAAGCCTTTGCTCAGAATTCCCATCTGACCTGCCAGAATCAAACACACTAGTAACAAACCTGATAAGGTTTAGCTTGCCTTCAGGCCTTTGCTTGGAATAGCACTCAGATCGTCCACAGTTGAATGCACACTACTATAAAACTTTTCCAGTGCAAGCTGCGTTCCCAAGCCTTTGCTCAGAAGGACAGTCTGATCCACTCTATTCAGATGCACACAGGTTAAAAACAAATTTTTCCAGTGCAAGCTGTGTTCCCAAGCCTTTGCTCAGAAGGACAGTTTGGTCCACTCTAATCACGTCCACACAAGCTAAAAACTTTGTAAGTCTGAGCTGTGCCCCTAAACCTTAACTCAGCTTGCACTGCTGACCACCATCACATTTGAACACAGATGGGAAAAAAGCTTTACAGGTGCAAGCCATATACCGAAGTCTTCACTCTGTTGGCGAGCCTGACCAACCATATTTAGATGAACAGTTGGAAATAGTTATTAGAGCAAAAAATGGTCTGGAAGTTTTGCTTGGAAGAGCATTCAATCTAACCTTCCAGAATCAGATGTGCACATGCGGAAAGCTTTTTTGGGTCACCCAAAAGTTTAGCCAGCAGTGTTTTATAACGAGTGTAGTCATTTAGTTTTCACAGAATTGCTCGCTATTTCGGTTGAAATATGTAAGCGTTTATCAATTTCACATATATAAATATTCTAAGCAATGGCTATGAATGCTATAACCTTTGCTCGGAGTAATGGTCTAGCTCGTTACACTCGCATGTATATGCGTGATAAAGCTTACAAATGCCAGCAGTGTCCCAGGAAATTTTCGAACTGGTCTTGCCTCAACAAGCAAGTGCTAACACATGGAGTGATGTACCTAGGGTGTTTGGATTAATACGCTGGCACCTTTCAAGCATTTTGACTGCACTCACCATTGCTGTTCAGGTTCTTCTCACTGCCGCATTGGCGACTTAGGATATCCTGATAGAATCGCGTGGTGGTATCGCCCGTCTACCAAGGCGGGAGGCCATAGCCTTTCCACTTTCTTCCCCACTTTTTTGCTTTTTAGTTTTTCATTCACATGAGTTCACATGATGTTAAAAAATGCATTTGCTTTCAACCTTTGTTAGGCTAACATCTGTAACGAAATTGTCTGTTTCCCAAAGTAACAGGAGCAGTGCATAATAGAAACGACTTGCTGAGTGCTTTATTGCTTACTCATCCCAGCTGCACAGGATAAGTAGAGGTGCAGGATTTGTTTTTGGTGCTTTATTTTTGATTAAATAGTATGAATCTATGTATAATACTGAGTTCAGTGTTGTGTATTCATGTGCTTACATGTTCTGTGATGTATTCTTGTTAATTTTACTTTAAGAAGCAATTTTACTTTGGGAAGCATGTGTCAGAATAAATTGAATTTTGATATCAAAGGCTGTGGCTGTCTTTTTCTTTACCAAACCAGTCTCACATAATTAGCCCCCCTCGGTATGGCCAGTTTTGTCTTCGAGGAAAGTGGCAACTTTAGTGTGTGTATACCGTAAAATACCGCGCATCCACCCATTCCACATTAGGCGCCCATTACCAAATTTGTAAGATCTGAGAAAATATGCACCGTATATTTATATGTAAAATTGATGACCAGACAAGCGCCCATCTCCCATTTTTTTGTGATTATCTCCAAAGTTTGAGTGGGCGCTTGCCCGGCCTTTTACTAGACTGGGAGGAAATGGAGCTTTCAAAATATACCAGTAATGTCCCAGATCATTCACTCCAAGTTCCAGATTGATTCACCGTATGCAGGTGGTGCATGCAGAGTGTGAGTAATGTTGCCATAGCACACAAGTCTTGATGGAATGCCACTCTTTGCCTCTACATGGTGTAGGGAAGTGGAGGAGGATTACAAGCCAGCAGTTGTCAATCAGCAGGTCGCTCTTAAGGGGGAATACTGGTCTTGGAGCTTTTTTTCTTATTCTGTGACCAAACTCAGTGAAACTGCATAAGCTTGTTCAGCTTTTTGCGCTGATTTCATATATCGGGTCGTTTTGTCAGTCAGAAGAATTGTCCTCAAGGTAATTAAAACTTGCCTGCCTTTGTTTGGAGGAATGTTAGGAAAAAAACTGCTCAACAAAATATCCTTTTTGACACATGGCTAGATACTAGAAAGTGTAGAGCATACAATGTTGGAAGTACTTTTAAGATAAACCCACTATTAGTGATTTCACCACACATTGAAGTTCAGTGCTCGATACATGGCTAACAAGTAATAAAAGATCAAATAAAAAAATTTCTAGAGTTTTATTAGAAAATCTGCTCTCAACGTTGTATGCTTCACATATTTAGCTACACATTTCAGGAAAGGTTATATTTCTATCTGCTCTGGATGCTGAGATATCCCTCCTGCAAATTTTTCACGAGTCCAAAAATTGTGTCTTGTGAAAACAATGTTTTAGAGTCAACCTCAACTCACATTCAGCCCGCATAGGCATTATTAGTTGATTTATAGCCCAAATATTCACCCACAAAATTAGAAGCCTGGTAAATTCAGAAGAACAACAGCCATCGCCATTTTCAAAAGAATACGGTTTTAGGACGTTTTTGGCTCCAAGGACCCATGTCCCCCCTTAAGGGGAAACACTCTTTTGAGCTTTTTAAGAGATTGAGATGAGTCACAGCAACAAAGTCTAAAGGAGAATGAACTCAGTAATGCTCTTGCCGGAGTTATGGGGTCCTTTCCGATGTTGCTCGTGTTGTTCTGCACTATGTAAAGCATTCATAAACCCACCTTCACTGGTTTGTTTCTTTGATATTGCTACAATAATGAAGCACTGTATACACACCTATGACATCATACTACCGATAAAATTCAATTTCATCCTTGCAGATATGGTGTCCTTTTACACATACAGACAGCTCAATGTAACTCGGAAGTAATACTCCCGTTTGCGGCATACGCTTACGACGCTGCAGTTCACGTTGCAAACAGCTACTTTCCCTTTTCCTTCCTTCCTTCACCCTTAAGCATAGTTTTTCCCTGCCCACTCGACGACATAACTTTCGCTCATTTATGTCGTGCAGAGTAAGTTTGTCGGCTTGCACAGCAGCACGCTAGTGCCTCACAACAATGAAAATTCCTGTTCTTCAACATTGTAGTACAAGGATTGTTGTGAGCCAATCTAATGCTGTGTGAGTCGCCTGTCCTTCCGAAAATTCACAGCAACGTGCAAAGCGCAGAGTCACGTGATATTCTCAAAGTGCTGGACTGGCCGGAATGGCTCGCAGCATCTGCTGCGATTACTCGATTGTGATCATGTGACAGGGCAAGGTAATCCTCCCGCTTTGCATCGCTTTAGTTTTGCGATCTAACGTGTTGCTGCAGAAACTGTTTGCTTAGTATATGGTTTTTGGTATTATATCTACCTGAAAGGCTTGATCTATCAACACCTATAGTTTGGCTTCGGCAACTTTCGTGCTCAGGGACTGATATGGTGAAGTATTGTTTGGTGCCGCAATGCCCGTCTCATGTTACCAACTTGGACATCAGCTTTCGAATCTAACCCAAAAACAAAAAACAGCAAATGAGTGGCTTGCCAAGTTGAGAATGGGAAAATTGATCTTGTAGAGTTTGACATTGTGCAGCATGCACTTTCAACTTGAGGAGTTTGTGTATGTTGTTAGAGTCGAGATGTTTGGTAACTGCTGTGAAGTTATTCTAGTGCACCTACTCTTCAGGATGTTGGCACAAGTCCAAGGCTTATGCGATCAGTCCTATTTTGCCCAGTGATGAGCACGAAAAGTTCCTGCACGTTGGCTCTTTGCAAAACCACATGTAAAAAAATTGTATATACAATGAGCCAACAAAATAGCGAATTAACATCCTGTGAATACTGTGAATACTCCTATACCATTTAGAACAACATTCTTAGATCTATCAGTTGACAGGCTCTACAGAAGAGCATCGTCTGTACGTGGTCCTTCTCTGTTGTCCATACTCTAGCAGGTACGGGTGGATAGCGATCCTAGTGCCACCTGGTGACACCGCTCCCACGGGCGATGGAGAAAGACTGTTTTCGAATGACACACTTTTTGCAATGTTCACCATAAAAACCACAATAGAATCCTAATTTCCATCACAGGCGATGTGCATCCAATGTTTCACCGGTCTCGGCGCTTCTGTCCATAGGGCGAGCCGATTGCGTAGAAAGCGCTAAAGTTGCTTTACTAAAAAGTAGTGCCAAGCTCCCCGCATGCATCACCATTTTAGTCCCTAGAATGAGCATGCAGTTTCTCCTTGACTTCTCAATTCTTCGTGAGGCAATTCAAATTTGTGGTGTAAGGCTGCTCTATAAAGACATTTCTTGTATACCGGGATTTCCTTATTTACACACCGGTGAAACAAGCACACATCTTCGCATCGCCCCCACATGCAGCGTCGGTGCACGTCCTCGGCATCGTCGACAATCATTTTCCTGTCTTGAAATATGCAGCGTCTGTGGAGATATGTACCTAAAGTCTATTGATAAACAAATGTTATCAGTATGACATCTTTACAAAGTGATCTTGACACGGCTGGTTCAGGATGGCCCTCTCGAAGCTTTGAAAGGACCGAAATGGTGATGGCCATGGCAACAGACCAATCGACCAATCGCCTTGCAAATTTTAGATCATCTGTATGTTAGTATCTGCTTGTTTTCTGCTAGCAGGCAGGAGAGGCAAAGGCACTACTTTTAGAGGATCCAGTGACTTTAGCAATTGCCACCAAGCAGACATACCACGAATAGGTGGCTGGTGTTTTAAGAAGCTTGTCGATTGAGTTTTATATAATAACATTGATTAGAAGAGTTCTTAGCCTTTCTAGGTAGTACCTGCTAAACACTTGATTCAATGTAAGATTTATTTAATAAAGACCTTGAGTAAAGACGGCAACAGAAACTAGACTTCGGGAAGGTGGAGGTAACTAATCAAGCAGAGGCTATCTGTGTATGAACCCTGTTGCGGAGACGCGCTTCGACGAAATGGCATTCTATCAACCATAGTAATCCATCAGATAGGTCGGATCTAATTTTCGCAAAATTCGCGACTAGAAAAATATTGCGTAAAATAGTACCCGCGAATATGGTTCTCTATGGTAAGAAAAACAAATGCATAGCATCCACTTTCAGAAATCCCTCCATGCAACACTTCGCGCGTTGCACGCTGGCAATTAGTGGTCACGTGAAGTGGCATGGTTTCGGTTTCGATCAGACAGCCGCTGTCTGTACTCCTGCAGCCAAACACGCGAACTTCCAAGCCTGCATAACGTGCACAACTTTTCTTCGCGTGCATGCGAACGAGCTTGCACGACAGGGGCTCCAGCAGGAACGTTGCAATCCACCGTTCTGCATTCGCTTACCTTTGCCCAATATCCGGCTCATCGGGAACCACACAAAAACAGTGCCAAGTGTTTTTTTTTTTTTTTTTCGGTATTTCTCGGCAACACCTACATTATTGTACACTTGTAGGAAGTCGCAGCAATGAAAACGCAAGCAGCGTGTTCCGTCACCGCGAAGAATGCTGCTAGGCCAAGTGCTAGGCCCTAACACACACGTCATAATCACCATCACTTTCATCTTGTATATTACATCATCACATAATGCTGTTGCCTTTCTGCGGTGCCGCGGCTCTCCTGAGAAAATAAAGATTATTATTATTATTATTATCATTAGTATTATGTCACGACATGATAATTATGACAAAATCTGAAACTGAAACCAAAACTAAGTGGCAAACTTGTACCCAGAATTCATTTCGTACCTCCGTACGGCGGCCCCGCGGCGGCGGCGCCAGTGGCGCGCCATATTGTGGCTATGTTCCAGCAGCCGTGTGTGATGCACTCGGAGTGAGAGACCGAGGGCTGTGTTCAGCAAGGCATGCCGTGGTGCTGCGTTCCACTGTGCAAGGGGTCGGCCAAAAAAGGAAATCGGCTTTTCCCTTTTCCTCGTGACAAGGTGCGGAGAAAGATATGGGAAACGCAAGTGCAACGCGACCGCTGGAAGGTGACGAACGGCTCGAGAATATGCGAGGTAAGGCATGCGGGTGGGTCGTATGCATTAACGGATTTCATTTCCCATTTATTTTAGCAGCTGACATGGACAGCAGGAAAATCTTAGCAGCTAACATGTACAGGAGAAAAATAGATCACGGTTCTTTTTTGACGCAGAAAGGAGACAACGACAGACACAAACACGCCAGGCATGACAGTCGTGTGTTCGTTGTCTCTTTTTGCGTTCAATTCCGGTTAAATGTAAACACAGTAGCTACATTGAGGTCCTAGAATAATTCCAAAACTTCAGCTTTGACCGCGGAATAGCGAAATATTGATTCCGCGAAAAATGGTTCGTTTAAACTTTAGACACTTTCCACAGGGGCGCCGCCATCTTGAATTGTCGTCACTTCCAGTATGGGCGACGAAAAAATAATAAAATGTTTCAACCTGTAACTAGCAAAAAAGTAGAGGGGAGCCAAAACGAGAATGTGTGACGGTTAGGCTTATATCCTAAATGTCTTCTATTGGCGTGGCGACGGCAAAACAATGTTTTCGCCCATACTGGAAGTGACGACAATTCAAGATGGCGGCGCCCTTGTGGAAAAGGTCAGGACGTCATTTCCGTTGCCCTCCAAAGAAGAGGGGAAGAAGGAGCTCCCCTCTTATCAGGACCCTCCTTTGTACCTCCCGGATTTTTACAGGCGTCGCTATTCTCCCCCCAAAAGATTATAGAAGATTAACCCGTCACTCAAAATTCTTACGAAAGCAGCTTCCCTCTCCTCCTCTTACTTGGTGTTCAAAAGTGTGCGATGTGACGTCAGTGCAAGGAGCCTATATACGTGTTTGAGGATTGCTGATTGCCGGTTTGGGTGCCTCATCCCCATTACAGCCGGCACGTGTGTTTAACGTGTGTTTAACCATCCACCTTTCGGGCCACCCATTACGGCGGATTAGAGGGGAGGCTACGCCCCCTGCCTTTGCGGTCTAAGCTGTTACTTGCAAGCCTCTAATAATATTGCTATAATTGTTCATATATTTCAGCGTCATTTTGAGCAAGATCAGTTTGAACAGAATCGTCAGGATGGACGGCGGCTGTTGAAGTCATCAGCTGTGCCAACACTCTTTGCTTCCAGCCGTAAGTAAACATGATTTTTTTTAATTTTTTTTTTTTTTAGCTTGGAGTCAGTTTTTTTGACAGGTGTTCATGGTAAGAATAGTATTTGCGAAAAAAAAAAAAAAATTAACTTACATACAGTGGTTACTTAGTTGGTGACTTGTTTTCTTGTTTAAAGGGCAACTCCGCTCAATTTCAAAAATTTTGAGATAGTGGCCGATTTTGCTTTTTGAAGCACTCAAAAACAATCCCCAATCCTTTGTTTCACGAAAAATAAAATATTTTTCGTGTAATTTTATTCTAGCCATGATCACAAACCGAAACGGTGGCAAAGCCGGACAACATGGTATATTCGGCATCACTAAGCATGTACACCCACGTGATATACAAGGGGAAGAAGAAGCTCCCCTCTTATCAGGATCCTCCTTTCTGCCTCCTGGATTAGCACAGGCGTGGCTATTCTCCTCCCAGAAGATTATAGAAGATTAACCTGTCACTCAAAATTCTTTCAAAAGCAGCTTCCCTCTCCTCCCTTTACTTGGTGTTCAAAAGTATGCGATGTAACACAAGCCGCGCTCAACGAGGCGATCGGCTTATCAGTAGTATCAATAGTCGAGCGCCAAGCCGGCCGAGCGCGTCACTTACGTCTTTCACGGCGCTGGCACCACCCGTGCTCTCCCCAAGAAAGAAAACAAAATTGAAAAAAAAAAAAAGAAGCTGTACATGTTTGATGACGTCGCGGACGTGCCGGGAGAAGGAATGTGGAGGAAGCGGAAATGCAGCCGGGCAGTGTTGTCTGGCCCGCACGTCTCAACCAAAACCAGCGGATTCGTGCTTGTCAAACTTTGACAGCGATTTTAATGAACTTCTAGGCGGAATTCCGTCGTAATATTTGCCATGGGGGTTTTGTAGATGATAACAAAGAGAACTGTATAGTTTTGCACTACTGGAAAAGAAGCGGAGTTGCCCTTTAAGTAAAGCTCGCTTTAATTGGAAGGGTATCTCAATTCAAGCGGGGCTGTTACCGCTTGGATGAAGCATCTAAAATACCTCATAAAATTAAAATAGGCACTCGGATAAATTTGAGTGTCAAGAAGAAGTGGAGTCGTCTTTAGGACCTTGGGTGAAAATGCCGGCACTGCCACAAAACAAAATATTGACAAATGAGAAGGAAATCGCTTTGCATTTCAGATCTGCGACGCACGAGCTGTATGCTTCCAACTTAACTTCCTTTTTTGCTGAAGGAAGGTCATTGAAAGTGTGATTATTCAGGGCCAACACTCGGGGCACTATGTGCGTAATCTTAACAAGTCTCGGCTCATTTTTTTGCGCAAAGACGCTCAGCGGCCACACATCGTTCAGTGCCACCAAGCCGGAGGATAGCCACAATATGGCGCCGGCGAAAACGGTGTCTCCACCCTGTCAGCGGAGTGGCTGGCAAATAGAGGCACCCTAGGACTAGGTCTACTGACTCTGTCTACTTCCAAAATATGGAGCCCGCAAAAATAAAGCATAGTGAGTAAGTAAAGTAAGTCAGGTGAATCGAGGCCTTTTTAGATCAGGGCGGGAGTACCCCCCTACTAGATAGCGTCGGTCGCCACCCAATTTGAATGATTCAAACATAGTATGTATTTATGTACACTATTATAAATTAGTTTGATTGGGTTTGATCTATCATCAGACGTTCGGTAGATTCTACCATGGTTCTTATATAACTGTGAAGGCTGGTCGTTATCTTGTGTTACGTTACGTATGTATGTGCCCGTCCCGATTCTTCCATTCAACTGTTTGTTTGATCTTTGACATCTGATGTGTTCCCGTTTTTTCTTCACGATCTTGTGAACCATCTTCCGAACCTGACCGCAGGCTCCAACTTGGATGGAACCGCTCAGTCCACAGGACATGGTAAGTTGCTCTTCCACGAGGTTAATATTTTGTACAAATGTTTTTACAGTGAAGCTGTTTATGGCTAGGGTTCTGTAGATTTTTCGCGTTCAGTGACTAAAAACTATGCTCGCATCGCCGCACGCGCAAGCCTTCCTTGTAGAAAAGATTCAAAGTAAATAACCAAAATAAAGCGGTGACAAACGCACGTGCAAGATGCCATTTGTTTTATGCTTCAAGTAAAGCTATGCGCACTACGTTGTGCACCTTGACGGGAAATGGCTATACGCACGACGCAGAGAGCTCATGCCATTTGGGTCACTCTTCGGACGGAGCGTGTACCACTGGAGAGTGAGTTAATCCAAGTTATACTGATATTTATTGCATTTAGCTGTGGGTAAGTAACGTAGGTTCAGGGTGTGCCAGTGTTGCGGAAAGACTGGTACCCATGCGTTAGCTGCGCCTACTATGGTTACCAACTTTTGAATAAAGAAAGTCTGGAAGGGGAAAGGGGGAGTTAAGTCGGGCTAATGTTGCATTGAGTTGTCCCAAAATACTGACGATAATATAATAACAAACACTTTTCATCAGGGGGGCTGCGGCGTTTTCAGCACTTGCTGTGGCTTGCATGCTAAGGTGGCTAATGGCTAAAGCTCCCCGCAGTCAGCCAGCTAGCTCTAGCCGTCACAATTATAATTTATTCTGTTCTAGTTCACTGCCTCGCCGACGTTGCTCTCGAGCTTCTTGACCTGTTCAAAGGTTGTGTATAGCGTGCACGAGTCACAAAAGAATTTAACTGGCTCCAAATTTCACCAACCCGGGACATGCCGATGGGAAAAATAGGAACAGTCACACAAAATACGGTACGGTTGGGAACCCTTACACCAACCCACATGTTGAATGTAACAGGCCTTAGGCATTTTCAAATTTGCTTTTGCTGTCGGAGCCGCCGTCTCCCATGTTTACGCCTGCTCAGTCAGGACCCATGCACAAAGTTGGTTCCCATTTACGAACTCTCGTAAAAGAATTGGCTAAGCAGCGCACGCCAGAGGCACGCGAAGTGTTTAGACTCTAGAGCCTAGTCTGTGAAACGGGCGAATAAAGCTGCTACCATTCTGTTGTCCAGATCTCTTCCGCCTGCAGACGGCTCGATGTCATCCCCAAAAAATATGTTGGCAGTAGTCACATGGCCGTAGCCAACCAATGAGGGACAAGTGCCGGCAATTTCTTTTCCTTGCCGTTGTGCTGCCTGTCGGCATAATGTCCAAGTTCCAGTGATCAAAGCCTCTGAACTACCTCCCCTCTACATCCACCTAACTATGGTGTGTGGAATGCGTCTCCGACTGCTGTGTTTACCGCATCCGAAAAAGTGGTCCATCGATTTCTGCCCGATGCTGCACGGAAGTGTCACATTGTCGCCGCCCACGATTCTGGTGGTGTCACAGAAGCGGTGGTGTATATGGCAGACGCTTGTTCTGCTGCAGGCCACTCTCCAGCTTGACAGTCCATGACATTCCATGAAAGCTTCGGCAGCCAGGGGTCGGGACGCCGCAGCGTCAGCGACGCTCCTGTTCGCTCTTACTTTTTACCAGGACTTGTAGCATCCATCGCGACGTCCGACGACACAATATGCTTGCTGCTGCGAACTTATTTGTTGCCACTTTGGGCCCACTCTTGATGTATGGTTGGGATCTAAGATGAGTTCCAGGCATTGTAATGTAATGTTACAACGTTACGGATAGTACCAACTTGGCAATTGGGACCAGGCCTGACGCTAAGTGTCCTTCGATGCATTTGGATGCACGGCCAGCCAAACGCTGATGCTGCACTCGTGTTGGATCTGTGCCTGCACTCGCTCTCTGATGATGATGTTGAAATGCTAGTGCACAAGCTTTGATTATTCTAGGTGACGTTGGTACGGCTTAGCCTGGGCCCCTTGTGATTATCGCATATCCATGACGTCTGTTCCCAAAAGATTCAAAAGAGTTATAAATATAATTTGACACCCTTTGTCAAAATAGTTGTTGCAATTTTTTTACGTCTCCCGATGAAATAGCTTTTTATATTGTATTTACACTCTGGCTTCGGTACCCTGTCATAATGGGCCATTTTAGGAAACCACCAGTTCTGAAGGTTCTGATATGAAAATAGTTGAGCATGATTCAGGGTTGTTCGTGGGGTGGTGGGAGCGATTCTTTTTTCCCCTTATCTGTATTGTTTGCAGTCAACTAATGAATATGGGGGGGGCTGCCCCCCCCCCCCCCCCCCCCCCCCCATCCAATATATGTTCTGATGTTCTGAGCTAACCGATATGCTCCTTTGCGTCGAACTGCGTTTCCTGCACGACATAAAAGCAGAAGGCATTAGCTGACTGCACACAGGAAACCGCCGAAGCACTCCTTTAACATGCCTGTACAAAGCGGGCTTCACAAAAGCAGCTTACCTGCTTTTAAATTTAGGGCTTCGTCCAGACCATTACACTGTTTCTATACAGTTTGTCATGTCGGTTGTGATTGAGGGGTGTTAAGTAATCACACGGAGACAATTTGGATGCGTTAAATAAGCTTTCACTGGGCAACAAAAGGAGATTGAACAAAAAGAATATGTACAAAGTTAATTACGTTAGAGTTATTAGTGCACAAAAGTTTTACTTGAACGCGCACGTCGTTGATCTGTTGGGGTAGCAGGCAGTCGGGCAGCCAGCGAGGTGGTCGGCTAGTCAGAGTGTCGGAGGGCAGTCGGTCAGTAGTTCGGGTCGAGCAGTCAGTCACTTGGGTAGCCGGGTGGTCAGCGAGTCGGACGGAGTCCTAGGCTTGAAGATTCAGATTGTTGTCGCCGGTTGCTTTCCGCGCTGCTGAGTCGACCCCGTACGGGCCGGCGCCTCGAGCGCTTGGAAGCAGCCCAATCGTATCTCTCGGGGTCTGGGCACCCCGACGGAGGTCGTTGTTGTGTGCTCCAGTCTCAGCCGATGTTTCGCCTCTCGGAGCCTGGGAACCCCGACGGAGGTCGATGGTGCTCGTCCCGGACGGTCTGCGATTCGGCTTCGACTGTCCCGAGCCCCTGCGTGCCGCTCTCTCTCACGAGCCCCTCGTCCTCTTTTTTCTTCCCTTCCTTCCTCTTTTTTCTCTTCACTCTTTGTCCGGCAATGACCATGACACAGGCCCCCTCTTCAAGTTTTTTTTTCTTTTTGGAGAAAAAAAAGCTAAGCTACATGCGTCGATTACGGACAGAAAAATGCACAGTGTACAGCAGTTCAGCACAAATGTTTCAGTTCGGTGTCAAACAACTAGACACAACTGAGCCCCGGTGCGCACACTCAATTCAAAATCCATAATTCGCGTGAACAAATAAAACCAAAATTTTCTCAAATCAGGTTGTGTACAAGGTCACCTTAAACACTATATTTAACTTTGAAATATTGTACGACACTAAACTTTCAACTGAAGTCATCAACGATACCGAAAAGGTAAGGCCATACACTCTCCACAAAATTACAAAAACATGAGAAACGAAATACAGATACGACTGGCCAGTTACTTCTCTTCTGTATCACTAGTAGAGAAACCAGACACCTCGCCCTATCTTGACGTAACGTCCTAGATAATGCCATTCACCATGACTATTCTAAGAATATTGCACACGGCTCAGGTAGTCACCGCCCACGTTGTCAACTCCCTTAATATACTCAACTGAAAACTCATACTCCTGCAAAAGTAAACTCCACCTCAGCAGCCTGCTATTTGAACCTTTCATTTTGTTTATATACTGCAAAGGCTGGTGGTCACTTTGAACTACGAATTTCTTGCCATACAGATAAAGATGGAACTTTTGAATGGCCCAGACCAAAGCTAGAGCTTCCTTTTCAACGGTGGCATAGTTCTTCTCCCTGGGTAGCAATTTTCTGCTAGCGCACGCGACAGAATGCAAAAACGACTCGTGCTTCTGCATTAACATAGCACCGAGACAACGATCTGAAGCATCAGTTCGAAGTACAAACTTCCTGGTGGGATCCGGCGCTTTGAGGATCGGTCCCTCTGAAAGTGCCTTCTTCAACTCGTGGAAGGCCTTTTCTTGCCTGTCGGTCCAACGGACACTATTGGGCTCCTTCTTTGTTGTCAGCTCAACCAGAGGCAAACTTTTTTCTGCATAATTTGCAATGAACTGCCGGTAATAACCGGTGAGTCCCAAAAATGACCTCACTTGTTTTTTCGTTGTGGGTCGCTGAGATCCTACCACCTTGTCCAACGTCTCCGGAACAGGGGCGAGCTCACCGTTCCCTAGTCGATGTCCAAGAAAAGTAACGTGCCTCCTTCCAACCTCACATTTGCTGGGCTTTACGGTTAAACCCGCGTCCTCAATCCTTCGAAGAACTCGCTCGAGTACAGAGACATGCTCTTCCCAGGAATCGGTCGCAATCAAGACATCATCGATGTAATGTCGGACCCCTTCGATTCCTGAAAGCACCTCTCGCATGAGTCGCGTAAAGACTGCGAATGCAGTTTTAATGCCAAACGGCATGTACCTAAATTGATACAATCCCGACGACGTGGAAAACGCAGTCTTCTTCTTTGAGTCACTCGAAAGGGGGATTTGCCAATACCCCTTGGAGAGGTCTAACTTAGAAAAATATACTCTATTGCCTACCTCGGCGAATACGGCATCTACTCGGGGAATGGGTTCGGCATCGGAGACTAGAATGTCGTTGAGCCGACGGAAGTCAATGCAAACCCGGTAGGTCTTGTCTGGCTTTTTTACGAGAACCAAGGGCGAACAGTACGCAGAAGTAGACTTCTCAATTACCTTTAGTTTAAGCATTTCGTCTACCTCTTTTTCAATCACGCGTTCCATGGAAAACGGAATCGGGTACTGAGGCGTACGAATGGGTTCATCTGTGGTCAGCTGCAGCTTACATTCCAGGAGATTTGTGCGTCCCGGTACATCCGAGAATATTTTAGCGTGTTTCTCCAGAACGTCTGTGATGTCTTCCCGCTGTTTTCGACTGAGATCGTCAGCTAGTGCCACTTGCTTTACTCCCTCTGCACTTTTCAGGTCAAGGCATGGAAGTGGTTGATCACTTGTGTCCTCAATGGCTATCACTGACGACACTTGCTCTGCCGCGCCCGCTGCCTCACGTTCTTCATACCGCTTGAGCATGTTGATGTGAAAGAGCTTGGTGGCGTGTCCTAGATCAACCTCATAATCGGCCTCGTTCCTTTTTCTCATTACTCTGTAGGGGCCCTTCCATTGCAATTGCAGCTTGTTCTTCTTCTAAGGTATTAAAAGCAGGGCGCGGTCGCCTACTTTCAAGTCCCTCTTCCCACTTCTCTTGTCATACATCTTGTTTTGGTATCTTGTTGCTGACGCTAAGCTTTTGTGAGCCAGTTCCATAGTTTTCTCGAGACGGCTGCGCAGGTCAAGAACGAATCCATACGTCGTCTTGAGGCTGGTTCCTAGTTCATCTCGAGTCCACACCTCCTTTAGGATCGTCAGCGGTCCTCGAATATGGCGGCCGTAAATGAGTTTAAACGGGGAAAAGCCTAGACTAGCTTGAGGCCCCTCGCGGTATGCGAATAGCAAAGGCGCTAGGTACCGATCCCAAGAGCGCGGCTTCTCCTGGCTCATCTTGGTCAACATCTGTCTCAAAGTGCCATTGTACCTTTCAACCAATCCATTACAGATCGAGTGATAGGGTGTGGTTTGTAATTTCTGAATCGATAGGAGTTCTGTCAATTCTTGCATCAATCCGGATGTGAAGCTTGTGCCTTGATCCGTTAAGATCTGTCGGGGAAAACCCACTCGGGAGAAAATCTCTAGTAATCCCTCCGCGACGGCGCGCGAATCGCACGATGGTAAAGCAACGGCATCGGGATACCTCGTTGCAAAATCCACCATCGTAAGGATGTACCGATTTCCACTATCTGAGGTAACTGGGAGTGGACCTATTAGGTCCATGGCCACCCTCTCAAACGGAGTATCAATCACTGGCATTTGCCCAAGTGGTGCCCTTTTTAGTTTCCCCTTCGGAATGGCCCTCTGGCACGTATCGCATGATCTGACATACCTCTTAATGTCAGCTTGGACTCCTGGCCAATAGAAAGCCTCTAATACTCTGTCAGTGATTCGTTTGATCCCCTGGTGGCCCGCCATCACACTATCATGCGCCACCTCTAGAACATAACGTCTCAGTGGGGTTGGAACGACCACCTGCTTGAACGACTTTCCACCCTGTTCGAATCGTCGGCAGAGTACTCTTTTCGAGATGTAAAAGTTGTACCTCGATCCATCCTTCGTGTTGTACACTTGACCTATTTTGTTTCTACAACCCTGCAACGTGTCATCAGATTGCTGCCTCTCTTTTAGTAGCTCAGAGGTAACTTCTTCCCTTTTTACTTCGCTAGATGCATTCGTCTTATCCGAAGGGATCAATCTATGTGCGGCTGATACATTGCTCATATCGATCGAGTCCTTTTGGGTATCAGTCATCTCTCCTTCTGAGATTGGTTGCATCTTTTGTCCATTCCAATTAAGATCAGCTTCGTCGGCTCTTCGGGCTCCCTCAACGTTTCCTACAATTACGTTGTAGAGCGGTGCGTCCATGCACTTCACGAGTAAATCTCCAGTAAAATATGGGGAGCAGAGTTTCACTCTCGCCTCTGGCAATTTCAATGGTGTTCCATTTACGAGAATCACAACGCCCGTTTTACCCGTGAGATTGGCATCTTCCACTAGGCTACTTCGAACGATTACTGTGTTACTGCCTGTATCGCGCAGCACACTGACCGGTCTTTGGTTTAGCAAACCACGTACGACAGGCATATTGTTAGCTCCGATCAATCTCGTTTGTTCATGGACTGCACTAATTAGCCCAGTCTCGCCATCTTGAATAGGAGGAGGGTTTAGTTGCTCTTTGGTGTGCACTGATGAGGTCACTGTGCTCTTATCCGATACCGGATCAACAAAACACGATATTTGTGGCCTATCTTGACGTTTCTTGGGACAATCTTTCGCGTCATGTCCTTCCCTTCGGCAGATCGGGCAAGAAGGAATCTTTTGTTTGTACCCGCTTCGGCACTGAGGCGCTTTGTGGCCTAGCCTTCCACATAAGAAACACTTCGGCTTAGAAAACGTTGACTGGTCTGAGCTTCCTCTGTTCGACGACGCGACTTTCGGATCCTCTCTAAAGGAGGATAGATTCTTCTGTTGTTGCGCCTCCAGAAATCGATCGGCGGCCTCAACCATTGATTTAAGCGTCTTACAATCTCTCTCTTTTAAGAAAACAGTGAGCCTCGCGTGGCATTGTGACATAAATTGTTCTGTCAAGATCTTATCTCGAAGCGCTTCATACGTTGAAGGCGTCTCTCCTACCTCCATCCACCTGTCAAAGTAACCTTGCAGTCGGGCGGCGTACTGACTAGCCGTTTCCCCTTCTTCGGGTTTCGAACTCCTGAATTTCTCCCATATCCCTCTGTAGTGAATCGAAACCTATCAAGAAGAGCTTTCTTAGTTGCTTCATAACTTAACGAATCCTGTGGGGATAGTCTACCATACAGCTTCAGCGCCTCTCCTGTAAGACACATGCTTAGAGCTGTCGCCCATTTTGCTTCTGGCCACTCCTCTCCCCCAGCTATGCATTCGAAACGCTTCAAGTGTGCGTCGAGATCATCCCTCCTTTCGTCAAAAGGAGGTATGAGCTTCCGGGGACAGAGATGAGCGGAGTTCATTCTCCCATTTCCATGTCCCTCTGAGGCTTCAGGAGTGGTTGCCGCAGCCGCCGTTTCAGCTAGCCTTATACGCAACTGCAATACCCTCTCTTCTCTCTCTGCCTTATCTCTAGTCGCGAATCTCTCAGCGGCTTTTTCCTCCTGTTCATGCGCATATTTCTCTTCCGCCCACACTTTTAGTTCATCGGCCTGGAGGCCCAATGCCTCGCCAACTTCTACAATATCTTTTAAATCCATTGCTTTGTAAATACCTCTTAACGATCCAAAGTGTCTCCGTCCTGTCGCGGACGCCAAATTGTCATGTCGGTTGTGATTGAGGGGTGTTAAGTAATCACACGGAGACAATTTGGATGCGTTAAATAAGCTTTCACTGGGCAACAAAAGGAGATCGAACAAAAAGAATATGTACAAAGTTAATTACGTTAGAGTTATTAGTGCACAAAAGTTTTACTTGAACGCGCACGTCGTTGATCTGTTGGGGGAGCAGGCAGTCGGGCAGCCAGCGAGGTGGTCGGCTAGTCAGAGTGTCGGAGGGCAGTCGGTCAGTCGTTCGGGTCGAGCAGTCAGTCACTTGGGTAGCCGGGTGGTCAGCGAGTCGGACGGAGTTCTAGGCTTGAAGATTCAGATTGTTGTCGCCGGTTGCTTTCCGCGCTGCTGAGTCGACCCCGTACGGGCCGGTGCCTCGAACGCTTGGAAGCAGCCCAATCGTATCTCTCGGGGTCTGGGCACCCCGACGGAGGTCGTTGTTGTGTGCTCCAGTCTCAGCCGATGTTTCGCCTCTCGGAGCCTGGGAACCCCGACGGAGGTCGATGGTGCTCGTCCCGGACGGTCTGCGATTCGGCTTCGACTGTCCCGAGCCCCTGCGTGCCGCTCTCTTTCACGAGCCCCTCGTCCTCTTTTTTCTTCCCTTCCGTCCTCTTTTTTCTCTTCACTCTTTGTCCGGCAATGACCATGACAAGTTCCTTTGGATCAAACAAGGGCCAAGCAAGAACCCTCTCTACTATTTGCCCTTTTTGCCTTTCTATTTTCAGGCTGAGCATGTTTAATGCTGATTAAGCTTTTTAACGTAATTAATGCATTTAGGTGTTTCCGTGAACTGGAACAAAAGGGCATCGAGAAATTATCATACTGAACCAAAGCAAAACCGCAGTGTTGTGTAAATTATTATCACTACTACTTATTTCTTACTTATTTCTAGACCAAGTGACCATCTAAGTTTAGTGCTCTAATGCAAGTCTTTTCTTGTAGGTGATGGAGCCAGTCTGTTGGGGGAGACCAGATTCCTACAGAAGGCCACCGAGGACATCTGGTTCAGATGTTGTACCTGCACCTTTGTCACTAGAGATCAGCATGAAATTGTGAGCCACTTGGTTGCCCATGGTGATGAAGAGTCCAAGTCCCAGCGTCCTCCCATGTTGCCTAGTTCTAGGTCCAAAGCGCACGGCGATGTTCAAAAACGGGAGGGTGATAAGCTGTTCAATTGTCCCAGGTGTCTGCAAATGCATTTCAGGAAACAGCCCTGTTTGATTCATGTGCCGAGACCCTACAAGTGCAAGCAGTGTCCCAGAGTGTTTGCTCGTAATTCCAGTCTGACCATCCACAATCGAACGCACACGGGCCAAAAACCTTACAAGTGCAGACATTGCTCCAAAGCCTTTGATCGGAATGGCACTCTCAGTCTCCATGTTCGAACGCACACGGGCGAAAAACCCTACAAGTGTGAGCAATGCCTCAAGTCCTTCACTCGGCTTTCAAGCCTGAAGGACCACATTCGAACACACACAGGTGAAAAACCTTACAAATGCAACCAGTGTCCTAAAGCCTTCACTCAGCCTGCACACTTGACTCATCACATTCGAACACACATGAGTGAGAAACCTTACAAGTGTGAGCGATGCCCCAAAGCCTTCACTCGGCTTGCACACCTAGCTGACCACAGTCAAATGCACACGGGGAAAAACCCTTACAGATGCAAGGAATGCCCAGAGGTCCTTGCTCGGAGTACAAGTCTTGCCAACCACAATCAAACACACACAGGTCAAAAACCTTACAGCTGCAAGCTATGCCCCCAAACGTTTACTCAGAATGCATGTCTTGTCCGCCACAGGCGAATGCACACAGGTGAGAAACCTTACAAGTGCACCCTATGCTCCCAAGCATTTGCTCAGAGTTGCGGTCTCATTCGCCACAATCGAATGCACACAGGTGAGAAGCCTTTTAAGTGCGAACAGTGTCCCAAAACCTTCACTCGGCTTGCAAGCCTGAATGACCACATTCGAACGCACACAGGTGAAAAACCTTATAAATGTAAGCTGTGTCCCAAAAATTTTGCTCAGCGTAATAATTTAACTCGCCATGCTCAGGTCCATATGCGCAATGAACCTTACAAATGCCAGCAATGTTCCAGCTCATTTTCTAACCAGTCTTCGCTCGTCCGGCACGTCCCAATACATGAGATTGACAAAAGAGAAGTGCCTGTGTACGAGGACACTGGCAGAAAAGAGGTCTTTGAATTGTCGTTCTTGGCTGCTGATCGTATGGACGTGGCGCAGCAGTTTCCACGTAATCAACCAATGTAAGACTTTTTTACCCGTTTGCGAGTTCAGATTTGAGCAAAAATTTGAAACTTCTCAGCAACACGAATAGCGAGAAAAGTCTTGCTGCCTTTGATGTGCTTGTCCCTAGTACTACTTCACCCACCAGTCAATGGGCACGTTAAGTCGACGCTCCTGTACTCCTACTCCACCGCTCAGAGTTTCAGACTTCGGGCGCAGCAACGAAACGAAAGCGTAGCATACGGGAGCGCAACACACCGAAACTGTTGACCAGCCGCATAAGCCACTTCCAGCCCACTGAAACAAAAGGCGGCGGGGCACTCGTTTGTGGCATGCATCTTGCATGTTCGCACTACAGCACTATGTAGCCGCTTCGAAGCAGAGTAGCGCAATCTAGAACGCAATCTCTCGGTGACTAGCGGCGAACACCCGAAGGTTCCAACCTTGGTCACAAATGCATGGGGAATGTGAGAAAATCGTTGTTCCTTGAATATTTTGGGGATGTACGGAAAGACAATAGTTTTTGACATAAGGAACAGTTTACAATAATTTGCGCTAAGTTGCGTGCCATGTAAGAACGTAATTTTAAAAAAAAACAATTCCCTGAGAGGCATCATGCAGCAGACGACGCGGCGATGGGCACCAATCATGTGACCTGCTCCGGCCAATCCATAAAGTCCATCTCCGCTGCATAAAACAATCGTCTGCTTTGAACGTTGTTGCCTTGGAAATTACCAACCTGACGACAGATTAGTTTAGAAAAATGTGAACACTGCGTTTATTTTTTAACCAGCCGTGTTGCGTTGACCTTCACGTGTTCTCCCGTAGGACGGGCGCCTCCTGGAACCCTGAGTACCACGTGACTCATGCTGAGCTGCTCTGTCGGCTATATTGTCGGCAAAACACGCGGATCGAAGGATTGCGTTACTCTGCTCCGTAGGAGCTATATAGTGCTCTAGTTCGCACACTGGTTGTCGGCACTTGTAAGAGACGCAAAGCGTGGATTTTTATAGAGGGACTTTGGGTGCTACACAACTATTTCGACCTCGGTGGAAGCCGAAACTAAACCAAGTTTGATGTCGCGTGGTCTTTCTGAATGGCGAAATAAATGAATTGGGGAGACGCTTTTCGTTGTTGACGAGCATCAAAACTAGACGACGCACCTTTCCTTTTAGAGTGAGGAAACGAAAATCAAAATGCTTGAAACACACAAACGGACGCGACGTAGCGGAAGCTCCATCGCCGTCGCATCACCAATGACTGTGCTCGCGATAGCACCACAGTGCCTGGAAAGAGTCTCAAACTGGTGCGTTTACCGCAACCAAAAGAAGTGGTCTCTAGATCTCTGCCCGACGGCACCACGCCCCCTTTCATTATATTCGCTGCTACGAGTGTGTCTGGATTCCTCTATCTGCGTCCCGAATCTGTAAGTATGCTACTAACACTGCCCATCGCTGGCAATGCTGCATATGCCGCCTTTGTGAACTTGGAAGTAGTGATAGATTCAGCCGGTGGCTCATCGTTTATCGCGCTGCCTGGTGCGTGAGCGCAAGCTCCCGGAGACGCGCAAGGAAACGAACCCTGACATGCGCCTGGCTCCTAGCTGTCCGGTCGCGTGGTTCCCTCTGGGAGAATGTGACTCTGAACGCGTGACATCTAAATACACGACAGGCAGTGTTCCGTGTCTTTGCATAATTCCGATAAAATGCGAAAAACACTCGCCGTTAAAATTTTTTTGTCGATTCAAGCTTATCCGAAAAACAAGTTTTAGGTCACCATAGCAACAAAAAAACTATTTTACAAACAAGTTTGATCAGAGTACAGGTTCTGTGGTCTTGAGGAGAGGTCTCTCCAGATTCCTTTGAAATCTGACTATCAACTAAAGGGGGTTCACCGTTTATATTGTCGAGTTTAGTTCAGGATAACGGGTCATTGAAGTTTTGGGTCATGGCAAAAGCTACTGTTATAGTTCTTAGTTTGGACTTATTAGGGGAAGGTGGGTTCGTCTTTTTACGATTGAGATCTATGATCATAGGAGGGCTGGGCATAGCTCGTAGAGTTATTATAATGTGTGCTAGAAGTTCAACTGGCACCACTGTATGCAACTTCTGGGAGGCAAATTGAAGCAGGTGGCAACCAGACTACTTTTGCGGTGCTCCTGTGCACTTGTACGGGAAAATACATATGCATTTTGTCTCTTCGCCGGAAAATAACAGATAACTTCTGTTATTTGGGTAGTACCAAATAGTATGTACCTTTATTAACATTGTAAAACTGTACTTGCTTTAGTTTGCACATTTTCCTTCATCAGTGAACAATGATTAACTTTGCTATATTTTAAGCCCAAACTTCCACAGCAGGTGTGTAAAAAAAGGCTACGGTTCTAAGCAAAATAACAATCGAAAGGAATATATAGCGTGTTCAAGGCTCGCCAGCATTCCAGTGACGCTCATAAATTGCTAATATGCCAGTCTTGTCACTACACGAGAATGACCCCTTCTTGCATCTTTTTGAGCAGTTAAAAACATCTAACTGTTCAAAAAGTTCATTTATTAAAAACATAAAGAACAAAGTATGTGGAGTATGAAAGGCGTCTCTAATATTTTCTCTGACGTGCAGTCTTATCGGGCACTTGTTATCAAAGATTTAGAGCGTGTGGGTGATGTTTTGGACGTAGAACAAGCATATTCGCACGGAGCAGAAAGAATAAAGCAGTACTGGCTTTCAATATATTTTGATCATACATGCGGAGGGAATTACTGGTCCAGTGTTACTGCATAGTTCTTGCTGTCTTAGTTTTCCATATGTCTTTCGTTCGTTTGGCACATATATCCCCCATGCTGAAGAGCGCCGGCGTCATGTTCGTGCTAAGAGTCTGACATATGCACATAAATGTACGGAGCCGTGCACATAAATGTACGAAGCCATTTTAGCACCGCTTTTAATGCAATTAATTTGAAAGAGAAACGTAACTGGCAAATTATTTCATCTGCCTGACTGAGAAATGTTCCAAGCTACCTTGTACATACGAATGGTTCGGAATATTTGGTCTTATTATCAAGCGCAGGGAGAGAATGTACTCGCTTTCCCATAGAAAGGCATTACCGGAAGTCAGGTTTCGACTGGTTGTTGTCTGCTTCAATTTGCAGCAGCACACTAGCACCAGTTGAACCTTTAGCATACATTATAATTCTATGGGATAGCTAAAGGTTGTATCTTTCCGCTCCAGCCTGCGCAGCCTTTGGGTGGGGTGATGGAATGGTATGGGGAGAAAACAAGCTTTCTAGTGACTACGTCAAGGATTTCAGTGATATTAAAGTTGATGTTTATTAAAGAATAGTATTACCAATTGCAAAAGCGCCCCCTGTAGTTCGCACACACCGCCAGTTTGGCGGTGTGTGCAAACTACAGGGGCACTTCTCTAGCTATCATCACCATTGTTTGTGACATCATGGACGTCAGACTGGGACAGACTGCGCAGATCTCGGATCCCTCGGCTCATCATCTCCCTTCATGCTCTGTTTGGGTGAAGTGCGGCAAAGCGTTTCACGCATCGTGCTTATTTGCTGAAGTGATGTTTGTAGTAGGACATTTTACCCAAGTTTAAAACCGCCGCATAGTCGTGCCAACAGACATTTTTGGTGCTGAAGTGTCAAAGTGCTCGGATGGTGGTGTGCTGTTCTTACCTGGATGATGAAAATAGGATGTCCAGCGCTTTATCACGCTACATCTACCACGGCGAATAGGGTGTATTTTGTAGCGTGAGCTACACTGGCCGAGGCTGAGCAGTTTCGCGTGGCTGTCAAAGAGCCGTGCTGCGCAAGCGCGAGGAGCAGTAAAGTCACAGGATGCACAGCTGGCATGCCGGAGCTGCTGCCGCCGCGCGTGCCTTGCCGGTCTGCGCATCCGCGAGAAACAGTGACATCAAACGGCGCACAGATGGCGCGCGGGAGCTGCCACTGTGCGCGCCTCGCCGGTCTGCGCATTCCAGAGGAGTGACGTCATAGCCGCAGCAAACGCACTGGCGCCGGCGCGTGCCCAGCTGTGCGCCTCCGTTGTGCAGCAGCCAAGTCTGACGCTGCACCGGAGCCGCTTGATAGCGCCTCTCATTTTGTGCGCATAAGCTCATGCTACGTATATCCTGGCATAGCCGAGCTAAGCCACCGCAATTTTTTTTTAATTATTATTATGATTCAAACAAAATAAATCTAAAAGGAATGTCTCATCAAACTAAAAATAGGAAAGCGAAATTCAAGAACCTCTCGCATGTTTATAGTAAAGACTTTAGAGAAAGTGACTCCATGTATCCTGTTGGTTCCAATGTGTTCTGTGACATTTGATTCCTTTTTTTATTAATCTTATTTTGTAAGTTATGAAACAAACATTTCTTCAAGATAACTGGCAGGAAGAAGTGGTGGCTGGCTTCCAGAGTCGTTTTAACTAAATCCCTGCTTATTCAACCGGTTGATGTGAAATACATAGCACTTCAACAAAGTCGGTAAAAGTGGACGATTGCTCTGCAGCTTGGTGCACATCGACTGGATTAACGAGAATTGTACCAGTTTGCAGTATTGTTCCCACTGTGTTAATGCGCGGAGGCAGGATTGCAGCGGACTACCACTGCAGAACCCACAGGGAAAACTGTGTAAACACAATTTGGTTATATTTATGGCGAGTCGTCTCCGGATAAGGTTAACCCATTTCCGTTCAATATTTTCCCCACTGCTATTTGCTCTGGTATTTAAAAAAAAAAAAATTATTTTTCAATTCTAATCTTTTTGTACTCAGGTTGACACTTATAGATGTAATATGTAAGCCATGAGCTTACATATTACAAAAACAAAGAAACAAATTATAATTTGAAGAAAAAAAAAGTACTAGTTACGGCAAGTTGCTAGTTTTTTAGGGTCATGTTAGTCAGGATAAATTTTATTATTGTGTTTCTTGGAACACATGTACAGTCGGTGACAGGTCAACGAAGTAGAAACTCCTCCCACTTTCCATTTTAGCAGAGCGAACGCTGGAGAGGGGGTCGCCTTCTCTCCAGCATTCACTCTGCTAAAGTGGAAAGAGGTGGGAGGAGCTTCCACTTCAGTTTTGACCTTTCTTTTCAGGGAGTAGGGACAAAAAGGACAGGACAAGGTGAATCTCGGAACACACAGCTAATCTCGCTGCCCCTACGATTCAAATAAAAGCTTGTCTTTCCTCTCTTTCTACCTGTCCCCTTACCACACGTTTCAAGCGATACCTCAGATAGTCCAGATAGACCAGGGTCCCTAACAGAAGCTATTTAATACAATTTGTTGCTGGGAGCAAAATAAAAGTTTCTCCGGACATAGCGAAGCGTGCGACTAGAGGAATTTAGCATATAAAAGAGTTGTACCGAATCTCAAATAAAACAAGCCGCTGGCGCCGCAGCGCCGCTGCCTTGGAACTTGTTCTGCATGATTAGATGAAGTCCTGCGCCATCTAGGCAATGTCGGGGTGGTCGGGGTGGCGTTCATTCCCTATGCGGTGGTCACATGTGCGACGGCGGCTGCTTCAAAACAACATGGCGGACCCCACGGCCGTAATTCGCGTCAAGTTGGACATGCGAAAATCGAATCCTGGCGCGTCGTTGATGGCGTGGATGGTCGTGGATCCCTCTGAGATCAGCAGCGTGAAGCAGCTTACGAAGTTGGTCAAACGCAGGTTTCTTCTGGTCGGAGAACATAGACTCTATCTCGACGGTGCTTGGCTGCCTCCGGTAGAATGCATTCGCGTTCTGAGGGACAACGACGTGATCAGGTAGAGCATCAAGCTTTCTTCATCGGTGATCTCCCCTAAGATCTGCGTCGATAAAAAAAAAAAAAAAAAAAAAAGTTTTTTTGTTACGACAACATTGTCTTTTTAAGTATTTAAAGTGACTGGGCGTTGAGAAGTCGGAGGTGCATCCTCCTTCAACGCAGTACGAAGTCTCTTCAAGTTGATGCGGCTGTATGTTGTCAGTTTATACTGGTAGAACCTGAGGGAGAGGATGAAATGAAAGCGCGTGAGGACGCTAGAGCGCCCAACTCTGACTGGAGTAATCGAAGTTGGCAGTGAAGACACGTGTTGGACTTTGCCTGCTGAGAAAGGTTGCAATTTTTGCATTACGACTAGAAAGAGCGATTGTCGGCGTCACAACGGCCAGTGGCGACGCGGCATGGCAGTGGTCGCGAACGGAAATTTGGGTCACGTTAGACGTTAGCGTTCTTTCAATGCGGAGTGCAAGTTTGTCTGCTACTTTTGCAGGAGTTGTGGGGACGTCAGGACGCCGAGCCCCGATTCTGAATGAAGGATAGTGCGTAGACCTCAAGGCAGCTTGCTTTGAGGTCTACCCACTATCCTTCGATCAGAGCCAACCGGAGCTCAGCGTCTTTCTGACGTCACAGAACCTCCTGTGCAAGAAGCGTACGACTTGCTCTCTGCATAGATTGTTTTACGAGAAATCCTCACTTTGAAATTAAGAGCATCCTTTGTCATCTTTACACTCCTTATACGGCTTGCATTGACGTCACATCAGTCGCCATTGCTCCGTACTATGCTCCTGTGCCCGTACCTTCTGCAACACACATTTCGCACCTTCGAGTCAGTTGTTCTTGGCAATGCCGAGAACAGCACAACAGATTCGATGGTGGGAAGTGTGTGCTGCGGAAGGTACGGGCACAGGTGCATGGTACGGAGCAATGGCAGCTGGTACGGTGCCACGTGACGTCCCGTGCAAGGCATGATATGGCAAGGAGATCAACCGTGGCACCCCTAGTGGCTAAATTAATAACTACACCGATGGGGACAACAACAGATGATCTGTTTGTGTTTTGACAAAGCGCTCGGCCCATATAATCAAATGTTGCGTCAGCGTTCGGCTGGGCCTCGTGTTCAATCAGTGAAGCGAACAGGGACGCAGCATTCGTGAATTATCTCGCTTCATCTTTCTTGACTGAGCGCGGGTAAAAATTGGGCATAAGTCGTGCCTGACCTTTGCCCCGCTTTTATTCGAGAGGCACGTGCCTCGTGTTAGTAAATACAGAGCTCTGGAGAAAACAAGCTGGACATAGCACCCTCTATAGTTTGATCTCCTCAGCAATTGTTAGTGGCTGGTTAATATCTTTGAGCTGGTTGCATTTGCATTACTAGGGGCGATTGGTGGCCGAGTGTTTTGACACACCACAGCTCGGAGCACATGGTGCAAAAGCTCGCAGTGCAGAACCCAGGGATCCTGGGATCCATACCCACCCCTGCCCATTTCAATCTGAATGAGCATCGTAACGGCATGCTGTTGTGTATCACTACTGCACTGGCTAAATTTCTCACCTACTGCAGGTATCAATGTCACCATTTTCTGGCAGACTAAACTCACGCTGTCTAGACATCTAACGAGTGGTCTGATTTATTTGTTTGCACTTATTGCCATCTGCCTCATTTTTCAAACTAATATTAATGCGGAAGTTTTTTTTATTTCTTTCCGTAGCGTTGTTTGGGGGGAGTGCGACTCCGAGAAGACCAGCTCGGCTCCAAACTGCGTCGTGCAGAACGGCGGAGTGAAGCGGCATTTAGAGGAGCCCGACCTGCTGCCCCCAAAGAAAAAGAAGAAGAAGAAACCTCGGTACCAGTCGCTCAGTGCGGAAGAAATCCCAGCAGTGCTAGACATCATTGAATATCAAGCGGCAGGTACCACAATCTCTGCCGAAGCCGTTGCTGAAGCCACGCAACCAGCCACCCCGGTGAAACCTCGTTTGCAAACGACACAAAACGATTCGAGCTGCAGCGATTCAGAAGCAGTCGTGAAGTTCCCCAACAAAAGTCCGCCGGAAAGTCGGCTTCAGGGTGACTTGGACACGGCAGCTGGGTCAGTGACGGAGTTTAGTTCTTTCGTAACGCCGGACGGTCCCAAGAAAAAGCGGCCTAGGAAGCGCAAGAAGAAGCCGAAGGTTGCCGCTAGTGTTGAACCGACCGTCAATCTGACTCCAGCCGTCTTCGTTCCACTTAAGGTTTCCGTGGAGCCAAAAGGAAAGCACAAGCGATTTGAACATGAATCCCACTGGGACGAAATGGAAGCAGACGGTGTCGAGCGGAAAGAAGCAGACGACAGAGGGCAAGGAGAAGCAGACGACGGAATGCAGGGAGGAGCGGAAAACAGAGGACAAAACATAGCAAACGAAGACGAGGCTTTTGCACCGGACGACTGTTCCACTCCCGTCTTACAAAAAATGCTAAGGGACAAGTCAGAACGGACGCCGCCATCTTTAGAGAAATCACTGAAAGTTTGCGAGCTTCAGTCGCCTGGATTGGAACGTGCGGTTAAGGCTGGGAGGGGAGGAGCAGATTTTAGGGCCGTGCCCCCGCCTCCCAGGACGACGCCTCGAGCTGTGCCAGAACAGGTGGGTTCGCCAGTTAAGCACTATTTTTCGGGACAACATACAACAATGGCTTAATCATCACCTCTTTTCCCGAGGGACTTTACATTTCAATAGCAGCGGCTCTGGGATTGCCTCCATCAGAGTTCAATTTACAATTCAATTTCTGGGCCCTTATTTTTCGTAATCTTACATAATAAGGTTATTAGGTGGTGGATGGTTTTGCTTTCATGGTTACATGAAGTGCAATTGCGTCGGTGAAGAGCTAAACATATAGACATTATTTGATTATTGCCTGGAATCTCGCCTCTTATATTTTTCCAGGCAGTGTTGTGGGCCACTGAGGTGCTTGGGTTATAAGATCATTGGATGATTGCAAGACCAATCAGTCAACCTCTACTACGACTGTCGTGCTGAAACAAATTGACTTCAGCACTGCTTTTTTTTACCAAGACAGTAGTAGGCTTTGCCCTGCGAAATGGGACAAACTTTTGTTACAGCTTGACCCACATAATTGTGCATACTGAAATTCTGACGACGTATTATTTGCACGTTCGTAAAGATCATAAGGAATTGGTGTATGGGCTCCAATAATGTGATGCCAGGTTGAAATTATTTTATTGCAGGTATTCGGTTATACCTCTACCTAATGCGCCACAACAATTAAATTATGATAGGAGCGGGTTACATTGTTTTTTTCTACGATGAGAGATCACTAGCTTGTCCTTGTCTTTCATGGTGTTTAATTTTAGCCTCGGTTTTGACGAAGATCAATACATGCACGGTGTACTTTTGTACCTTCGTCTAACGTTGAAAACGATCCGTCACAGATGACGTTCCACCACCCTTCCATTTTTAGATCTAATAACATCTTCCGATATTATGATAATTAGTATATCTCATATTGAGACTTGCTTTCGGCATCAGCTAGTCGTAAAAATCATTTCAAGTGCTCGATTAGATCTCTGAAGCTGCAATCCTAAAACCTATGAAACGATGCGTGCACGCATACTTGCAGTGTAATCCGAGCTAGCCATGTCTCTTTCCTAATCGACACGTGCCCAAGACTGACTTATTATTCGACAAACATCATTATCGTCGTCATGTTCCGAGTCCGAAGCCGCCATTGCACGTGCCCGAGTAAGAAAGAGGCAAGCCCCGAACAAGTAGTTTCCGGCCAGTGACTTTCGTTCGAAAAAAAAATTCCATTTAAATTTCAACTTTTTTTTTTTTTTTTGGCTGTTGTGAAAAGGACATTGGTCACTTAACAATCTATTATCTGTTTCGGGTTAAGTAAAGCGAGACAAGCCCCTCCCAGAAAGCTTTCTGCTGGCCACGATTGGTGGCGTCCTCCTCTCCACTCGTCTCATCTGCAGCATTCACCCTGCTTAAATGGAAAGGGTGGAGGGATATGTCAAAACAGCTTGGGCCGCTTTTCTTAACTTGCAACGGACTGTTGTCATGCACGACCGCTTTTATCAGAGTGGCCGTTTGACGCAATCGGACGTTTCGCAAACGACGTCGCAGGGTACGCCGCTCTCGGCTGCCACTGCCGAGCCGGAGGCAAAATCGGAGCCCCAGTCCACCGCGAGGTCTTACGCCGATTTCCCGAAACTCAAGACGCCTCCGAGGGTCGGAGATGCGATAGCGTTCAAGGTAAGTTCCCCACCCAAAGTCTATAAAGCGTGTTGCCACTGCAGGTGTCTAGTTCGGAGGGCTTATTTCTGACGCACTTTCGGCGCAGTGGGTTGCCGGTTGTTCTTGCCGGTGTGAAATTCGCGTCGAACCGCGTTTGTTTCGTACAGGCGCAAAAGCTGGTTGGCGCACTTGAGACTGCTTACGACCAAGTGCGTCACAATTTCTTGCGATCTCTCGCGACGAGAAAACGCATTGGCGACATCTATCGGGTGGCGATGGAACACCTGCGATTTGTATGTTTCCTACTTTTTTTTCATGCAATATTCTTTCAATGTATTGCCTCGAAAATCTTTTGACAATATCATAAACCAGGAGTCTCCACATGCCGCCCCGCTGCCGGCCGCGGTTCTTGCAGCGATCCTGCAGCCCATTACCAGCGGGCCCGCTGCTACTGGTGCAAAAATAAGCGCGTGTAAAGAAATGGCGTTGCTTGCCAAATGCTTCGTATCTGTGCCGATTCTTGTATACTGACAGTTGTGTGCCACATTAATTGCACAATGTCACCACCGCCATCTCCGTTCTTAGTCCCCCGTTTCACGTCTGCTGAACTGCATTAAGGGCTGTTCAAACAGGACACGCCAGAAGTCGTGAGGCGACACAACTCCCCACCCAAAGTCTATAAAGCGTACAAGTCGTAGAATTTGAAGCGGTTGGAGTCCGGCAGCCCGATGTCTGAACACCGTCAAGCAAACGTCGCGGCTTTGTTCCTCGCTTCCTCCGCTTTTCGGTGACCTCGACGCTCGTCAGACTCAACGTTGCGCGCCACCTGCCAATGCGCTCTGTCTGCTCTGCCGAGCCCTTATATCCTGGACCATGTTACGAAAAAACCTACCTGCGTCCAGCGTAGCTCTACCGTGTTATCATGTGACACAACCCACCAGAGTAGCTTGGATCTATTTGGGCAAGGTTTCTAACACAGCCCTTCCCTTTCACGTTTTTGGGACTTGAAGAGCAGCGGAGAGGCCTTGAGCAATTGACCGACAGCCAACAGAAACTGTGGGTGGCTATTCGAACCCACGTGATGAGCATGCTCAAGGCCCCTGTGAAAAGAATGGGCGACCTTTGACAAAAAAAACTTCCCTCCCGGCAAAGAAAACAAAAACGAGCATACGGAACCGGACTGTCGCAAGACCTAGGTATAACCGGAATTGTGTCGCCTCACTTTGCACGACTTATGTCGGAGTTGTGTTGCCTCACGATTTCTGAAGTATCCCGTTTGGACAGGCCTTTGTAAGTATTTTGCGTTCTCATGAATATTGTGCTTCATGGCCCGTGTCGTACGTATTGCGTATTGTCATCACCAGTCCTACCATTCTCAATAATCTGCCCTGTGCCAATATGCCAACGTTCATATTCGCTTTGATTTATGCCTGGTGAATTGTTCTGGGCAAATATTATTAAATATTGAATTATATATATGGTATAATCATCTCTATCACTCGCAAGTCTTCTTATTTGCATCTGCGGCCTTGGGCAAAACCCAAGGCCGCAGAAGCTTTGAATGGTACGCCACAGTTCCAAAACATCACTCGTACATCGATATCTCAAATGGATGGCCGTACTTTTGGAAAAGAAGGGCGCGATCAAGCGAGGGCTATGACACCTTGGTCCTCCTGTAAAATTTGAAAATGAGGGGAAGCGGCCTTGCTTTTCTCCTCACTTCGGTTCACCAGCTCGACGGGACGTAGTGAGGAGGAGAGTGAATGAGAATCGTGACGTGACTTGTCTCGCCGGCATTGTCGGCCATATTCAATCGTGCACTTTTTTTACAAAAGTACTGCAAACCGTTAGAGATGTTGCTGTACGAGTGATGTTTTTGGGCTTTGCAGCATCCTGCCTATCGCTCCAGCCCTGTGTTGTGAGCTTGAAATTTTGGTTCAGTATCTCAGTAATCGTTTTTAGTTTTTGGAAATTCCTGACCCTCAACTGCTTAATTGTTGTCTTCAAATTGCATTTGTTGCCTTCAAAATAAAGTTTCTAGCCACAAACAGAATGAGAGAAAATATTAAAAAAAATTCAGTGATGCCATCTGATGGCAGAGCCTGAAACTAAGCGATGAGGGAGCCTGGTTCGTCCAAAACGGTTTGGCGACGGCTCCACGTTGACAAGCTAGGCTCGTTCAAAACGCTTAAGGGATTACTTTTACTCCACTTTGAATTTCTGTATTTCAGTGCTTTGGTATATACCGTAGTATTCCAAGAGATAGCATACCTAAAAGTGAGCAAATCGGTCAAAAATGAGGAGTGAACTAGCTTTTGGTGTGCGATCCAGACATTTTTTTAAGAATGCTAGTACTTTTATATTCTGTGACCTGCCAAGCTTGTTTTTACATTGGGGGTCAATGGAGCGCAGAAAACTGTCCTTCCCAGTTTGCAGTGTTCACTTGTCTTCCGCTGTGGCTGAGTAACACCAATTCTGTCGAGGTCACCATGGGCCAGAGCCCTGCGTTTACTAGAGGGGGGCTATCTTTCGGTGTTTTTGAAAGAAGAGCAAATCGTGCCAAAAATAGGGGGCGGTTATCTTTTGGGCGTGGGGCATCTCTCGGGATACTACGGTAGGTTTATTTATTTAAGTGTTATTTCTAATTAATATTTCTTTGTTTATTTTCTGGCCCTTGAGGTCGTGACAGACACCTAATCTGGCCCCTTTAGCCATAAAGTTTGGAGATCCCTTTTATAAACAACCATTTCTCATATGTTGTACTAAATGTAGATTTGATATTGCGAATAGTGCAAAATATTCGCTCTAGTGAAATGCAGTTCCAGGGCTGCCTCATAAGCGGTGCCGGTGTGCCATTGTGTTATCTCATTGTAAGGGGTCACAGGGACAGTACGACACACTGGGTTGTAAGCAAACGCAAGTGTGTGAACCAGTCTTAAGACCGCGAAAAAAGTTACGCAAATAAGCATCAGCTCTGCAAAAAGAACTGGGCGAAAATGCAGTGGTTTGAATTTAAGAAATGTTTCTTTTTGCTGCCCGAGTCCCCTTTTATTTTTATTAGATACGTTTGGAGAGATTCCTGTGAACCCTGGTAGAGAAAACTTACCAAGACGCCAAGAATAAAAAAACTCTTAGATGCCAAGGGATAGATACAATTGTCGGCGTTTTTATTTTATCATCGGGGACCGGTGCAATTCGGAGCTCCTGCCGGTCTTTTAGACATTGAGCCGGATTTTTTTCATTTTATTAAAAATTTAAAAAGCAGCATCCACTAGACATAATCAAAAGGCACAAATGTTGTATGAGTGCCTTCCTTTGTCCGTGTCTATAGTTTGCACTCTAGATTTCTAGGTTTAGTTACGATCGAACTACACATCGTTTTCGAGTGCTATTCGGTCGTAAAAAAATGCCGTACAAATGAGCCAATGAATGCAACTCGATGAAACATTGCACAGAGGTGTCTTTAGGGTGTTCATTTATCGTACCCAAATTTACTGAGTGTACTAGGTTTTGAGGAAAAAAAAATGCAAAAAAAGAAAAACCTCCGATTTCCCATGTAAGGGGACAAGATCGGAATCAAACTGTCCGGTTGTCGCTGCAACTCGTGGGTGGCACCACATGGAACAAACACTTGAAAGCTTCTCCGAGATTGACACTCCGAAGCAGATCCGAGCATCGGCCGTACCATCATATAGCAACAGCATCAACCAGACGTTTTGTTTACATTTTTCTCCCTGTGCATAGGAGCATCGTGTTTTTCCTTTTTTGAATTTCTTTTAGTAACTTACACTCGCCAAATTTGGTTGTGACAAATGCACCACTTTAAGACTCCTCTGTGAAAAGTTTATTCACAGTTTCTTCATTGGCTTATTTATAGCTTTTTTATGACTGAGAAACACTCCAGTAATAATTGAGCTACGAGAGTTTCTTGTAGGGGAAATAAGTAAGTAAACCTGAGATTTAATATGTTTTTCGCCTCTGCTTAGGTGCTCGAGCTCGATGCCAACTACTGCCCCAATGTGTCCGGATACAAGGTATGGTCTCTTTTTGCCTCTGCATACCAGTTTGTAGGCTACTGAAATGTGCAGTGACTAAGTACAATGTCGGGCCATTCTTTTTTTTTTTTTTTTTTTGCAGGAGGGCAAAGTCCTGCACCATAACACAAGAACCGACATGTTACGCATCGAACTACGAGTTCCCGAAGTGAAAGCCAGTGAGTGATTTTCAGCGCCACTCCGTCTGCAGTAGTTTGAGGTGGTCTGGTAAATTTTTTAGGAAAAGCTATCACTTACTCCCAGTATCTTTACCATATGGTATGTACAGGGCATTCCCTAGGGAAAGAGAACCACGTTTTTCGACCCGGGTAAATAAACTAAGCATTGCAGACAGCTTGAACTCCGTTAGAATGTGACGTTAGCAGTTGGGATTGGGATGGAATGCGCAAGTTCGAGAACAAGAGGTTACCTGGCTCAGTGAAATTTTGTCCTCTTCAATTATCCTTTGATTCAGGTAACGTCATGTTTTCAAACTTTTTGCGTCGTGTCCCAACGGCTAGCGTAATATTCTCACGGAATTTGAGATTTCTGCGACACAGCTTATTAGCTTAGGCTGAAAACCACACTTCTCTTTTCTCGGGAACTCCCTGTACTTTTGAATGCCTGTGCCAATGATTACCAAAAACAAGCATATACTTACGCACTCTGATGGAAACTTATTGCGTTAGTTTGGCTCGCAAAACTCCCAAATTTCTCTTTTATGAAAGCGCGCTTAAACTTTGCTTCACCATAAACCTTTCTAGAAAAGGACTTTTGGCTGATGCTATTTTCAGCATTCGTGCATGGGGCCCAGTACAGTGTCGGGTAGAGTACATCTAAAAAGTACTTCAAGTAAAGCACAAAGTAAATGAGAGGTTGTGTACTTCAAGTCAAAAGACCTTTTGCTGAATTACTTAAGCGTCAGAGAGATTGCTGGGAACTTAGGTGCACACACTGTACGTGCTCGCCTTCTATATACAAAAGATTCAAAGTAAATAACCAAAATAAAGCATTTATGGAATGGGTGTGCAAAGTGCCATTTGTTTTAGATTTTTGCTTTCGGTCAGTTACATCTGCAGACGCCAGTACGCTCAGCGCGTGTACCTACGTTCCCGGCATTCTCATCGATGCTTGGGTAATCTGGCAAAAGGTCTATTAGTAGGTACACCGGGTGCAATTTACTTGAAGTAAAGTACTATAAATAATTTACTTTCAAATTAAAAGCACTTTTTAACGCAATCTTTCATGATACCCTTTCGGTGTTTCTCTTTCAAACTGGTATGCATTATCCCAGAGGTAAACAGGGTTGCATCAGTACTTTTCGGAAATCGCGGCGAATATTGAATAAAGTCAAAGTGGCTTCAGAGTTGACAAAGCATCATTTTGTGATGCAAATTTAACAAGACCAAATTTGAGAAATGTACTTTGAAGTCGGGAATTGTACTTTCTTTGGAAAGTTCCAGAAGAAAAAAAATACTTCAAGTAAAGTATAAGTACATACTGAGGGAATGTACTTCAACTAGAGTAGAAGTATTCTAAACCTCCTTGAAGTAGTACTTTGCAACACAGGTCCAGTACTGGCTCGCTTTCCAAAGCAATGAACATGCGCGTGGTGAGCTGGACTGTTGAGATTGCACGTTCGGCTGTGAATGTGTAAACATTGAAATGGTGTGTAGAGCACTCCACAAAAGGATTCCTAGCAGCTTCCATTTCCGATGATGATGCATTTTGAGTGTGCTCAAAATGCATCAACATCAAGGGCAGTGAACTCTCGATGCTGAACTGTTATCTTCACATGCTGTGCTGTTAACTTTTGCAAGCAGTAGAATGGTCACTATCTATGAGGTGCGATAAAAAAGTTTCGAGACTGATTTTGTAGCGTATAAAGAAGGGGCAGCACAGTGACGCGTTCTTAGCAGTCGAAGTCAGGAACCTTCCTGTATCATTGTGCCAAAGGGCGTTCTGTGAACATTTGAAACTGTGCTGCACGAGTTTTTGTGACCATGTGCACGAGCACAATGGCGATTTCGCCATAGGCCGCAATTCAGAGTGAGAACCAACATCAGTTCTGCATGAAACTCAGCAAGTCTAAAACAGAGAGGCCTTTGAAATGATTCAGCAGGCTAAGTCAAAAAGCAGTGAATTGTGTGAAGTGTTTTGAGTGACACTCACACTTCAAGAATGGCAGAACATCCTGGAAGACGGAGAGGTCGGAGAAGGTCGCCCAAACTTCTCTTCGTTTTCCAGCAATGTCCTGCCATTCTTGAAGCGCAAGGGCCACTCAAAACACTTTGCACAATTCACTGCTTTTTGACATAGCCTGCTGAGTGTTTTCAAGGGTCCCGGTTTTAGACTTGACGAGTTTGACGCAGAATTGGTGTTCACTCTTGTTCTGGTTTGCAGTCTATGGTGTAATCGCCATTGTGCTCGTGCACGCGGTCACAAAATCTGGTGTAGCGCAGCTCCGAATGTTTACAGAACGACGCCTTTTGGCATAAATAGACACGAAGGCCCCCGCCTTCGACTGCTGCGTGCATGCATCACCTGCTGCTCTTTCTTTTTATGATACACAATCAGTCTCTGGACTTTTTGATTGCACCTCATATGCCCTCACTGGAGCCACCACACCTCCACAGGGTATGCCAAAGTGCTGCATCATTTTTACTCCTGTAAGAAAGAATGGTTTCTAAGCAATGTTTGATGCGCACATATTCAGTCTACCCCTGAAGCAACGCATTATATTTGCAGCGTACAACGGCAAATTTGAGTTGGAGGTTCCAGAGGAAGATGAAGCGCCCCCCGTTGAGGAAACGGTAAGTCGTTCTGCGACGGTTATTCATGAAGGCCTAAACCTCGTTAACACCCGATTGGTGTCACAAGAGCTATGAAGTGAGCTACGCTTCGAGTGTCGGCACTCAATTCTTCAAATTTTTTTGGGGGCTCTGCCATCTTGGTGTTTAGTGCAGGGCAGGGGCTTGATTTTGGTCACCACGAGAGCAAGGTCCAATTTGCCTCTCGCAAAGCGAGCGAAGATGGTGTTTGTAGACAGTTTGTCTGCTAACGCGAATGGAGAACGCGGTTCATCTGCTACGAAGGGCCATTCGCAGACAGGCATTAAACGAGAAAATGCCGTACGTCATCTGCTAATGGACCGCAAAAAAGTTTATTATCCGCTACGAACCGAGCGCCGCGGCGGGGCGAAGTTGGATGTGGGCGGAAATTGTGATCGTCCTCCATTTCACGTTGGAAGCCATCGACAACCCACGCTTTCTCAAACCTCAAGTCATTCTGTTGCCGTACACAAGCTGACATCGACCGGTAGATGAAGGAGTACTAAGAATAAGCACATCGGAGGCAACGAGAACCTTCTCACTATTTGGGAGTCGGCGAGACGGTCTCACTAATATTTTGCCCAATTCCGAACTCGCGAGCGAGTCAAAAAGTCAAAAATGTGATTATGCGCAAGCTGTGGTGCCACTTCCAATCGGAGACTGACAACGCTCTTGCTCTCACCTTGACCCAAATTGGACCCAAGTTGTAATTGGTGATCGTTAGGATGGAAAAATGCGACTTCCTCAGCTTTAGATACGGTGTTAAGAAGTTGAAGGGATGTCGTTTTGCTTTGTCGCAGTCCGTTCTAACATTTGTGAAAGACGGAAAAAGGTTTCTTGGTGCTTTAGAGTAAAGCCTCGGATAACCGAAGTAAAGTTACTCCGAAGCGTAGCTTATTTATGGGTGCCACCATGGAGGTGTGCACCTCGCGTGCCACCATAGTGTTCCCTGGATATGCTGTGGCATTCATCCGCCGTGAAATTTCGAGCTTACGCAAAGTGTTTGACAATGATCGAGTGTGGGGAAGAGAGCTCTTTAGCTCTGAGAGCAGAAAACCAGAACGGGCTCATGGAAGGGTAGTCCCTCGTTTGATCCGACACAATGGTGTGGGAGCATTTTAAGGGAGGAGATACGACCGTTGCAACCTTAGTGGCTAAGGTGAGATTTAAGGTGCGTTTATACTCCAACGTCGGCGAACCTAATGTTCGCCGGCGCAAAACGATGTTCGTCGTCCACTTCGCCACGCTGCGGAAGGAATTGTCAACAGTGTCTATACTCCGGCGCAGTCTAGCGAGCCTCAACGCGCTCGTCCTTGCTACGCATGCGCGTCGTCATGGCAACCAGGGCAATCGCGTTACCATTGCCGGTTCCTCGGTTTGTCGCCGTTCGAAGCGAGCCCGCGAGTCCTTGTTCCTCTTGTTTAGGTCTGCTGTCAACATGAACGTAGACGCTCAAACAAAGAAAAAAGAAAATAGCAGCTGTGCTCCTGTGGCGTCGAATACAGCGCCGGAGGAGGCGTACGATGTATGCGCGCGACATCTTCGACAAGCGGGGTTGGGAAGAGGGATCACAGAGCGGGAAGCCCAAATGCTGAAAGCTTGTGTATGTGCGTGCGTGTATGTTTTTGTAGGGTTCGGTGTGTGTGTGCAGCAATTACTCTTCCAGAACACTAGCGGCGGCGTTCCTTTTCGTCACCGGCGCCGCCACCACCGTACCATCGCTTCCCCCCCTCAACACGCAGACATACGCGCCTACACAATACCCACCCTCGCCGTCGTAAACCATCTGTATGAACGAGTGCGTGCATCCACAATATGGGTGAAGGGATTCCCCCGAGGGGTGCTTTTCCTAAACTATTTCTCGCAAACCACCGCAAAAGACGGGGACTTTTTTCTTTCTTTTTTTTCAGTCGTACGCATTGGGAGTGGGCAATTTAAAACTCTGTCCGTCTTTTGTCCAAACCCGTCGCAACGTTTTCATTCTTTTTAAACTTTGTCACATGGTGTTGTTTACTGCTGCTTGTCAATTTTGTTTTCCGTCCTTTCCGCGCGGGTTTAGTCGTCCGACTAAAAATAGCAGCAAAAATAATATAAAAGATGCTTAGAGCATTGACTATCGGTTCCGTAATAAACATATATGTAGCAGCGACAAGCGAGCTGCCATGCCGCGCATTTCGTGGGCTATTCATACTGGGCCAAAATAAAGCGGGCCTCAGCGGGCCGGTGAAAATGAGTGCCGGGCCGGGCCGGGCCGGGCCGGCTGTCTGAAATATATAGCGGACCGCGGGCTGGTCCGCACCCAAGAGACAGCGGGCCGGGCTGAGACGGGCTTCTAAATATCGGCCCGTACAGACCTCTCGTACTCACAACTTCACTCGCGTAAGCGAAGATATAATTTAATTCATTTCGGCAAGTTCTACAGGCGGAGGAGACATGGACATGCAAAGTGTCAACTTATCGCTCTTCATGCCGCAGATTGTGGTCACCGGACGCCCATCCGTTCTCCTTCCTGAGCTTGTCCCGGTAATCAATGCAGCCAAGATCGTAAAGGCTAGGGCGACTTCTGACTGCGTCAATGAGACGCTCGGCATCACTTGTTGGCAAGTCCGTTTCGCTACCGCTCTGGCTCATCTGGCTACCGCCGTGCGCCATTTTGATTTCTCCCTACCCGTCGCTCGCGCAAAGGTTTCTGGGTAACGACCGCCGCCAGCCGACGCCGAGATTCGAGCAGGGCCTACCTCGGCGAAACCTTCGCCGACGGTCGCCGAGGCGCGCTACGTTGCGTTACGTTCGACTGTCGTCGGAGTATAGACGCTCCCTTTGCAGCAACGTAACGCAACGAGGTCGGGCGCGTGCGCCCGTCGACGTTACGTTGGAGTATAAACGCACCTTTAAACCCACGAGAACGACGTCAAATATTTGCGAGTTTTTGATGTGGTGTCAAAAACTGGGTTTGACACAGCATTAAAAAGTAGGTCGCATCCTTGACGCAGCATCAAAAACTGGGCCTGACGCAGCCTCAAAAACTAGGTTGCATTCTTGACGCAGCATCAAAAACTAGGTTCCATCTTGTTGGGGTGTCAAAAACTAGGTTGTGTTCTGACGCAGCATAAAAAACTAGGCCGCATTCTTGATGTAGTGTAAAAGACCAAGTCACATCGTCGACGCAGCGTCAAAAACTGGGCTTGCTGCAGCCTCAAAAACTAGGTCGCTCTTTTGACGCAGTGTCAAAAACTGGGTTTAATGCAGCGTCAAAAACTAGGTCGCGTTCTTGATGCAGCTTCAAAAGCTGGGTATGACGCAACGTCGAAAACTGGGTCGGATTCTTGACGCAGCGTTAAAAACTAGGTTTAACACAGCGTCAAAAACTAGGCTGGGTCTCATGTTCAGTTGGCGAAGCACTGAAGGAACACAAGTCTCGGCCAAACGCTGACACAGCACTCGTGTCCAATCTGTGCTTCGTGCCGGATTGAGGTAGGCAATGCAACAAACCCAATAAAATTGACTGTAAACTACTAATTTTTGCGAGGACCTAATTTTCGCAAATCCAAAAACATAACGAAACGTAGATCCTGCAAGTACATATTACGATGGTAACCCATACGTTTCACAAATATTTTGCGGCACTCCCAATTTCCTACCCGCAAATTAATTGTAAAATTCATGCTCTGCCGAATTTGCGAAATATCGAGATGGCGAAAATAAAGTTGTTTACAGTAAATCATGTTTCATACAAAGGAGATGTTTTTCCTACGGAAAGGTAAGGTGTCGAAAATTTTCTATTTCTATGAAAAATAAACATCAAGGTTGACCACTTGAAAAATAGAGAAAATAGTTCTGCCGTTCGCCGTTTTCGTGAAGTCAAATGCTCCAGTGCTCACAGTGACAAGTTAATTTGCAGTTTCATGCGAAATTAACTTGCAGGAAAAAGAAAGGTTTAATGTCGTCTCTGCGTCGTATCAGCACCGAGATGCACGTGAGAACCGGCCCAAGCAGCACCAGTCCAGTAGTACCTTGGTTGGCGTCGACACTACCTCGAAATTAAAGTGCCATTCATCGCTTCTCTGTGTTGCAGTTGGAGCTGCTGTGGAGCGAACTCCTCGATCCAGTCCTGCTGTCATCGTAAAGTGTAATTAAAAAAAAAAGAAAGTGTAATAAACCATGTTGCAACAATCGAGCATCTACGCCACCAAGCTTGCTGCTACGGTGTCTAGCAAAAAGTCAAATGTGAATGCTGCAATGTCAATTTAGAAATATAACATAGCATTTAGCATAGAGCAGGGGTGGCCAAACCGCGGCTCGCGAGCCGCATGCGGCTCTTTGCTGTTTCAAGTGCAGCTCGCGTATCTCGCAAGGGGACCCCCCTCCCCCCCCTTCCCGCATTTCCTCAGGAAAAAAAGAAGGGATTTCAGGCAGAATGAAGTACGGCTCGCGGTTTGGCAGCCTTGTACCTCCATACGTACTGCCGTACAGCCTTGTGCACGCAGTCAGACTCTGAACAAAATTTAAACTTGCCCCCCCCCCCCCCCCCCGCGGCTCTTAGAAGTTTTGTGGTTTCGTTTGCGGCTCTTAGGCCTGGTCGGCCTGGCCACCCCTGGCATAGAGGATGCTTCAGCCGACTTGTGGCAAGACTTAAAGAATGCTGGTCCATGCTGCACGTGTCCAACCAATGCAGTATTGCTCACAGTCCTACTGAGAAAGTTAAGACATTTTTTGCAATGCATCGAACTGGCTAATTAATACCGATTACCCCAGAATACTTCTTGCTCAAGTGCATTTGTAGTCCCGCTTTCGTGCGCACAAACTCTGGCCACGGCCAGGCTAGAACGAAAGGGCACACCTTCTTAGTTTCTCCCACCACAGCTCGCTGCTACGGGCCTCCAAGCCACCTGACTGCAGGGACATAGGCAGAGCACTTCTTAAAAAACAATTTTCCACAAACAACCGTCTGCTTACCATAAGCCAAAGTATTTCAATCGGCGTACTACAGTTGTTTCGTACGAGTACATTGGCATGCAGTCTCGATCACGGTGGTCGAGACGGTAGTTCGCGGTTGGCCCAGGCAGTACTCCAAGGGGTCGTGCTGTCGCGGCACCGTTTCTGTGAAAAAACTGCCATTGCTTCCAAATCGAAAGGAAAGGCCATAAGGAATGCCACCGTCTAGCCCACGTCGGGAGCGCCCAAAAAACATGTCCCAGCATTTTATCCGTATGTGTAGGTAACACCCAGATTTTAATATAAATTTAGGGAGAGTCGCGTGTTCCAAAATGCAAGCACTGTATTTGATCGTAACAAGACGTCGTGAAGGTAGGTTGGCAAATCGAGTCTGAAATTGTGGGCAAGGGGCTGCCAAGATGCTTCGCACGGCACTACACCTCTAGGATCGCTTCCATTTTGCGAGGTCTATCCAAATGCGGCCTGTCAATCACATGACCCCAATTGAAGCGGCTGGTAACTAACATAGGCTCTCTACCCCCAGATAATTCAGCCATGCAATTGGCAACTGCTGTTAACAGTGTCGAGCACACCGGTCTCATCTTTCACAAAAAGGAAGCTACCCCTCAAACTTTCAAAAGGTAGAATCGACCTTGAACTTCAATGAAAATTGAAGATTTCCACAGATAGGCCGATTTTTCCTGACAATTTTAGAGCAAGTTTCAGTACTGATGGCAAATCTTATACACTCCCTAATAAAGCTCTTGTTGGCTTTTTTTTTTTCTGTGCACCTTTGTCTATTTAATTGTTGCTATATTTTTGGTTCACATAAACGTGACCCAATGCAATCACGCTGCTTTTTTTTTTCAGCAACAAAAATATATTTTTACATTCCCATTGAGCAATTCTGATTGTACCGTAGAATCTCAATATATATTTTGTTTAAAAATATATTTATGCTACGTCAGTGTTGGCTTCACAAACTTGCGTCAGTGTCAACAAAGGTATTCTACAGCCAGTTCAAGGATTTGCCAGAACTCGTATACACCTCTGCACCATCAGTGACACTCGGACACGCGTAAAAACTTCTAAAATTAATTTATTTTTGCGACTCAATGGTTTGTATAACAACAGATGCTCGGTACTTAGTGTGCGCCAGTCTCGGTAAATGGCAACTGACGTGTGGCAATGCAAAAAAATCTTTCTTTTTTTTTATGTGTACAGAAGACATTTTTACGTGCACAAAAAGACTACCAGCACAGGGGCTCCGATGCCCTGAAATAAACCCATGGTTACAACTACAAAAAAAAAAACAAAAAAACCTAGAAAAAATTTGTTTCGACAAAAAGTTGGAACTTGCTACACATGCAAAACCTACTATTTCTTAACCAGCTTTCCACACGTGACCCGAGCGACTGTAGCATTGTCATCTACTCTCGACGGCATCGCTAGTAGGTGCAACTCCATTTCTTGTTTGCTGTATAAAGCGTTTTTGTATCCTCAACTTTTGCTCTCGGAGAACCCAGAGTTACACAACTTTGAGTGTTTTAGAACAATTCACTTTGCCAGTTTCCGTTTACGACCGCCGAAAATGCTGAACAAAGTGGATCGTTGAAACTACGGTTACGCGGCTTTTATCGAGACCGCGTTTAAATTTTGCAGCAACGGCTCGCAGTAGGGAGTTAAGCGGGTGACGCCACTCCGCACGCTCGAGCATGTTTGCGGATTCGCGGTAATTTGACGCAGTCGTAAAAGTCGAGGCGGCCACGAGTTTGCAAGGTCGCAAGAGCGTGGCAAAACCGAGAGTTTGTTTGGCCGTCCCGAAGTCCCGCGCGGCGGAGTGGAACGAGAAATTCTTTGCAGATGGAGACGGTAATGTAATGTCGCCCCAAGAACAGAGCCGCGTCGCAATTCGCTTTTTTACGGGTTGCCTCGTCGGTCGCTCTACGAGTCACTTTACGAGAGTCGCGATACACGTAACGCTTCGCGAGTCGCACAATGTACGGTGCTAGCCTTTCCAGCCCCAAAGTGAAACGCACCAAACGCGAGGAAAAAAGAGGGCCAAGTGCGAAAGCAGTTTTTAAGTACGCGCAAGGGAGACCCTGTGCTGTGGGACGTAGTCTACGGTAAAAACAGGCAAAAACCGGAGCAAGAGGGAGGGGGCGGTGCCTCAGATGAGGGGCGCAGTCCGGGGGCCTCTGAAGCGTCCCCGGTTCCGTTTGCTGGCCTTCTGCGGCTCCGTCTCTCCCCGGGGCAATGAGACGACCGTGTTTGCAGATGGCACCGTCTCTGCAAAATAAAAAAATAAAAATAAAAAAAAGAGGGCGTTTTTTAGGGAACATTTTTGGCAAGTCTCCAGCCTCTAGACCAGTGGTTCTGTTCTCAAGCATGGATGTGTCAGGGACCTCTTGGGGACTCGCCAGCCAAAGTGATGGGAAACCCCATTGTGCAAAACTAATAAAAAAAAAAAAAGAAAAAGGAAAGTTACATAGAGAATTGGATGCACTCTATGCATTCTCTGTGTAATTCTCAACATGGAGTCATGGCGGTCCGGATGGCTGAATGAAGCGGACCAAGCGATGGCGACTGACAACGCGCGAGGGACCTCTACTCCGGAACAGTCTTTCGCGGTACTGGGAAGTCGTGTCTGGCTTCGAAAAAAAGATAGTTTACCCATCGAAACAATTGGGATTTATTCCGTACGACACGCCCGACCACCGAACTGATTCGCACGAAAACGTATTCGAGTCGTCGCCACTTTTTCTGGCTGAAGACATTGCTCGTCTTATGAGCCGCACAAATTGGTGAGAGCTTGAAAAACGTGCAAACGTCGGGCACGAAGTGCTTGACTTTAATGTTTTTCGTGCGACAAGCAAATGTTTCATCCACCTCACACAACCCAAAAAACAAGGGGAAAATAAAAATGTGGTCGGGTGTAGTGTTGTGATTTCCGGCAACTCTCTCCTCCACATTACTTTTTCCTCCCCAGTTCAGTTTCGGTTTGGAACAGTTGCGTTTTTTTACTTTATTGAAAATGCGTGCGACGCTGTAGCAAAATATTGATTGGGTAGTCTTCCAACAACATATTAGATCACGTGGCAGAAAATAACAAAACAATCTTTGGGGGGTGTCAGTGTCCCTTTAAAAGGAAACTGAAGCGGTTTTGTATTTGAGGAAGCACACTTATTGTCTTCATTTGACCTCCAGGATCTCAAATATCAAAATTGTCTTTTTGCTTTGGTGCATGGAGGCTGCAGAAAATCCTTTTCAAAGTACCGCTGCAGGCCCTCCTTCCCGGAGCGTGACGTCACAAATGGAGTTTTCGGAATTTCCGCCCTCGTGCATCTTCGGCGCCTATGAAAGCTGCGCACACACGCTCCCGCTATTTCTGAAAAGTGCAGAAATAGACGTCACGACTGGTACCAGTGTGGGGGAATATTCTTAGCAAGCCTGCAATTGCACGCGAGGCCCTCGCACGACAACACGCGCTTGGCGGCCGAAAGATTCTCTGAAGACGTCACGACCGCTCTGAAGTTTTTCGTGTTTCGGCAAAAACGAACGTAATGTTCAGATTCACAAGACAAAACTACGCTAAAATCAACCTCTAATTTTTTTAAGTGTTTCAGCTTCTCTTTAAGGACCGCACGGCATTCCAAGTCCTGAGCGCCTTGTTTTTACCCCACAGCCGTCGAGACTGCGGTGTTAACCGACGAGAATGTGGAAGAACCAATCCTAAAGACAGATTCTAAGCCACACCTTGCGTTTCTTAAACTCTCAGTGAATACATTCTCTCCTCCAAGAATCAAAAGGAGCTTCCACCCGTCCCGGACGTCTAGCGATACGAGGGCTCACAACCTTGCACGCTTTTTCTCAACGTTGTACGTACACAGGAGGGAGAAATTACTCGGTGTGTAGGGACGCTTCGGGCTCGACCAGTGTCTGAACCGCGCTTCGCTTACGATGTCAGGAACACGTCTCCGACCGGTGTGTCCAGCGCCCAGTCCCGCCCGTACGCCAAAACCGGTCCCTAAGTGGCGACGAGCCGCATCGCGGGAGCCAGCACATTGTGCCCTCGAACTTCGCGGTCCCGGCGGTCGGACATAGAAATGCGGGCAAAAAAGGTGGGCAGATGCGAGGAACGCTGTCGTCGTGGCGCCCCGTCTCGCGTCTGCTTCGGTTCCCGTCGTCCGTCCGGCTACGAACCGACCTATGTTGGAATGGACCACCTGAACCACAGCCGGCGACGACAAGACACCCACTTTTCGAGGACGCAGCAAACCCACCGGTCGGAAAGGCGCGTTCCGTAGGCCCGTCCCAGATGGCCCTACTGCCCGGTTCCGATCGAGGCAAGCACCCACCCGAACCTTCCGCAGCCGGTGCACCGCCGTCGCCGTTCTCGGCAGCAGGGCGCCCCTGGTGCTGGGCAGTCTTTGCGGCGCCCTTGGCGGCCGCGGCGGCGGCGTGGTGGTGGTGGTGCCCCCCCGAGGTGGACGGGTGCAGCCGCAGGACGTTGCCCACCGCCTTGGTGCGCCCCTCACGGAACACCAGGCGCATGCCCGGCCGCAGGTACTCCGGGTTCTTGATGAACCGGAACCGGACCAGGGCCTTGTCCCCCGTGCGCAGGCAGTCCATCGACATGGACAGGATCGACGCCGTCTGGCGGATGCTGCCGCAGTGCACTGCGCAACGACGCACGGTAGCGTAAACCTGGTTGAAAATCTCCCCCGTCGCTTCTGCTACGTCCCAAAGGTGCTCATACTCGTCGCGTCCAGGAAAAAGGAAGCTTTGCGCATCGTTTGTGCACGGGGCGAAGTAGTTCTTACAAGACTCGGTTGTCGGAGGAAGAAACAATGCTCTTGGGGTCTAACGTGTATGTCTCAATAAAATAACTAGTCACACGCGAAGAGTGGATTTTAAGTTCAAAACGAACCGTGGTTATGGCCGAATATTTTCTAATCGAAAAGATTTTCCGAGCCTTTTACTACCGTTGCACCCTGCTTAAATGAAAACCCAGCTGAACTCGTGAAAGTCGTCCTCAAGCTTCCATTTGTACATTTATAAGTTAATTTTAATCTAACTATATTTATGCACTGTGACCTCGGAAAGTATGATGTACATTTATAAGTTAATTTTAATCTAACTATATTTATGCACTGTGACCTCGGAAAGTATGACGCCATGAAATGGCAAGTAAACAACAAATTTTTTTTTTTTGTAATTTTACATAAAATTAAATTTATAGAGATGGTCAGCTATATCTAATTTAGTGGATTTACAAATCTTGCTATATATGCAAATATTCTTTCCGGCTAAATATGCAAATATCCAGCCCGCCACCCGCCCTCTCGTGGATGAACCGAGAACCAGAAGAATGGGGACAGCAGCGGCGAGGGGACAGTGGTAGGGACTGTTGTTTGGTGCTGCTATTACCAAATGGTTCTGGTCAGCGTGTTCATGAGTAAAGCAGTTTTATTGAAAAAAAGTGAGCGCATTAAAATAGGAATTTTTCGTGTTCTGCCTCGCAACAGTGTTGCACAAAGGGACCGGGATGTCTAATTTCATTAGGGATTTCTTGTATACTGCATACACTGCGGATTTCTGGTCTTGTGGTCGCCTCAATCTGCTCAATGTGACGGCAAACGCTCCTGTGAGTAGTGTAGAGCTCCAACGTACGGTCTACAAAAAGTTGATTCTTTGCCCTAAATAGGAAAAACTGGTCGCTTAACGGTATGTCGAGCAATAGACATTGAGGATGGGTTCGCGTTTTAAGGCCGTTACAAGGAACAATACCATTTGTTCCAAGAACTTTCAGAAGACAGAATATGCATACTTGCTTCCATGTAATTACAAAGGCAAATAAAGAAATGTTCAAAGCATTTTAAGAGCATCTGTGTTAGCGAGCAGTTCATGACGAGATTAGAACGGGCAGAACGTCGCAAATAATTTGGTACAGAAATGTATGATATATTAAAATATTTCTAATTGATAGAGCAATAACAAAAACTCTAAACACGCCGATGACGTCAATAGGTCGTTTTAGCGTAGCTTTACCGTGAGCATGGCAACGCTCCTGGCGTGTGCTGAAAATTATGCTGCAAAAGCGCTGCGTGAGCTTCGGGTGGCAATGCTGCGCCGTACAGGTCATGCGATCCTAAAACTTGTTATAACAACAGCGAAGTTCAACCACATGTTGCAGTACACTAAAACCGCAATGGTGAGCAGCGAGTTACGAGCCTGTGACACAAAGACATCAATACTATGAACGCTGCTCTTCCCTATTTCTGAGGCTGATGAAAATATTGTGTTGCAAACGGCACAATAGTTCCATCACCCTCGGAAATATTTTGCCACAAACAGTGATGTGGCCGGTGCCCAAAATGCACTAGACCTCCACAAAGCAACTCGCTCGCCCTCCACAAAGCTTCGAAAGTTGAGGTTTCTGCAACCTTCAAATATTAACATGCTCGTTTTCCTTATGCACATCAACATCTCCTCACCTCCAATATCCTCCTGCCCTGACCCCTTTAAATTTGTAGACAAATAAATTATTTTTAGCGCACCGACCAGCGTCAGCGAATAGGCGCGTGGGAAATACTGGAGGATCTATCCCTGCCTCTTCTGTCATCTTGGAACTACCACCCTGCCACCTATTAGGCGTTTGAGTTACGATTAGATACATAGCATTTTGAAGTCCTCCTTAACATCGCAGTGTGACCCAATGCCACGGTCTTACGTGGCGTTGCATAATGTCGGGTCTCGTCACATGGCGCCGGGACATCACGAAACATACAAACAGTCTCACCTGACGTCACTATGTCACGTGATTTTATGTTACGTGATTTTGTCACGCGATTTTATGTCGTGTCACGGAAGGTAATGTCAGTTTCACATCGCGTGACATCATGATCCGACGTCACAGTGTCATGCAAAGTCATAATATCAGGACGCGACTGTCACTCCGATCACGTAACGCGAACGATGTGACATTGTCGGCATAATCTCACCATCGGGACCACGTCCCACGGACAGGAAAATAGTAAGAGCTGGCCCTATATACGCTCCGTATTTAGAAGTCGACCAACAAGCTGTATGGCGTACGAAATTACAGTCGCTGTTACGCATTAACCTTCTTCGGCAAGGGACAGTTCCGCAAGGACATCCAAATAATCAAACACGTCCAAACTTTTGGTGTCGGAAAAATCAATCAAAGACGCTCGTCACAGTGACACCGCCATCGTGAAATGCATATACACAATCGGAGCAGCCCAAACAACCAAATAAAAGGAGTGTTTAATGTTCAAAAGGCATTTCAACTGTCTTCATTACAGGACTCCTCTCACCTACTTCATTTCACTGGAGTCAAACACCCAAACGAGATGGGTCAAATCCGCAAAATAACGGCCAATTTCGGCGCATCAGACCCCGCCAGAAATGTGCGGCAGAAACTCGAAACCCCATCCTAATGTGGCAGGGCACCAGTCGGGGCGCTATCTGAATTTTTCGGCGGTCTACCGCATAACGACGGCACAGCGATGACGTAGACATGCACCCTGTTTGTCCCCTCCCCCATCCCGAAGAGAAGGTGTCCCGCTCACCCATGGCCTGGTAGCGGGGACTGATGGTGGTCGGGTGGTGCAGCACCAGGATCTCCCCTTCAAACTCCCAGCAGGACTTGGGCTCCAGCTTGGACGACACCAGCACCATGCCCTTGCGGATGTCCGAACGCTTCACTTGCTGCACGCCACGGAGGGGAACACGATTTATTGCAGCCGTCGTCTATTGAACCTCGACGGCTTGTACAAGCATTGTGCCAGAGGTGAGGAAACCGTTACATCGCTGCTGTAATTGACTTTATTTTCATAAATTTTGTGACTTGAGTGACATTGCAAAAAAATAGATCCCGCATATAAAGGGTGTCTTTTTTTTTTAGGCTTTAGAGATTTGTTTTATAACATACGTGAATGGGACACTAATGCGGCCTGTGCAGCTGAATTATATGACCCGGGGGGACATAATATAGGGAGCTAACCATCACGATTAGTCAAATAATAGACTAAAATTTGTTAATTAACTTTTCAATTGGCGAAAATAAAAATATGAATTAGAAAATTTCTGAGCATCATCAAAAACCACCACCATACAATACCGCGCAACCACCCATTCCACACTAAGCGCCCATTTCCAGATTTGCAAGATATGTGCAAATATGTACAGCACGTTTATATGCAAGACTGACAACCGGACAAGCACCCATCCCCCATTTTTTTGCAATTATCTCCAAATTTGAAGTGGGTGCATGCCCGGTATTTTTTATGGTAAATCACCAATATTTACAAATACTTCGAACTCGTGAGAAGCGCAGTAGCGCACTAAAGTTACCGCTCGTGCGACAGGCAGAAGGCCGGCGGCGAGGAAACTCAGACGATAACCGTGCGGCCACGTTGCCGAACCGGTAGCCTCGGTCCAGCCGCACGAGTCATACCTTTGGCGCTCCACCGTGCTCAGAGTCTTTCTAAAATTGACCAATGGACTACTTCCAAAACCGACGCGCCCCATCGCGGCGAAATACCACGCAGTGCACTCTGGGAACTAGTTGGCCGCTCAGTTTCGGTTTCGACTGAGCAGCTTCATCTCATGCTATCGCGCCGCGACCGAACGCGCTGCTTGCGTTTTCGATTATCTGACTTTTCACGAACGTACAATAGACTCATTCTCGAGCGATACAAAACGAAGACCGGGGCACTTTCCTTGGTTCCCGAAACACCGGATATGGTGCGTGCGTAAGCGAACGTAGTAAGACGTGGCTTAGTCACCTCACCCTACGGGTGCATGTTTGAGCTCAATTTCAATAATCCCGTCTAGTACCACTGAACTAGAACTAAAATTCGTTCATCTGGAGCCTTATACGTATTTTGTTTGCCAAACGTCCGTTTCTTGTTACTTCATTGGGCGAAAAGAAAGCCGCATCCTCACAGGGTATCAAAGTTGAGCCCAGCGTTTACGCAAGAACTTTTAAGGAAACGCAGTAAATTCGACCTCACTACTGCACAAAAGTTACTATGATCTCTTCTTCGTGTCATCATATATCTCCCACTCGAATTTTATGCTGGTAGAAGATTAATTTCTCGCAATTAATTTCTCGCAAACGCTGAGATTGGCTAGCTACGACGGAGGCCCTAACAAGCGTCCCCTACTCCTCGCTAAGCCTTTTTGGACGAGCTTTTACTGACGCCCAACATCTGCGCCCGAACGGCGTGTCTGAAATTATCTCGGCATACTCAGGCAGGAAAAAAACAAACACAAAACAAATATTATGGCCATTAGCAACCGTCAAACGCGCTTTGAATTCGTTCGAGCACTTGTGTGAAGAATGCCGCACCGTGCACCAAACGGGCATGAACCCCTATGCGGTGCGCATGGGGGTTCCTGCCCGTCCGGCGCACTTCCGGGGAACGGTGCGACATTCTTCACACAAGTGCTCGACTTTTGCTTTTTCAAAACGGTCTGTATGTGCGAATTTGCCTATATGATTACAGGATAACTTTATGTGCATACGCGATGTTGAATATTAATGGAATGCAAGCGGGTAGGGACTTCACTTCGTGCAGTGCTGCGGGTCAGTACAGATAAGAGATAAGAAGTGTGTCAAAATTGAGCTTTTCAATGGCGCCTCCGAGTTTTACCTCGCATATTCAGGCATATTAAGAAATACAGTAATTGCAAAAAGTAATATTTCGTCTATGGACGCACGAAACAAACTTCCTGATCAGCAACACTAATGTAAAGGCGCGAGCTCGATGTATGCATACTTATTGGTTGCTACAGCTTGTTGATTCGTATACAAGCAAGAAACCCGAGCTTCGCAGCGCCGAGATTCCCAGTACTGGCTCGTCCACATACCTCAATTCGAACGCTAACAGGAAGACTCAAGTACAAAAATACAACAAGCATGTGTTAAGACAAGCTATACGTCTCAGGCTTGTGCTAAAGCTTCGAGGCCTGGCCATTTAGGTTGGTTTAGAGACCACAAATGACGCTCTCGGGACCAGAAAACCATCTCTTGTCGACGTGTCGATCGAAACCGAAACCATGCCACCCTCCTCCCTGGCCAACTAGTTCCCAGAGTGCAACGCGCGCCGTGTTGCATGCAGGGCTTTATGGAAGTAGTCAATTTTGTGGTTTTTGATGACGCCCAGCAAATTTCTCATAGGAATCATGTTTAGTTTCACTAATTAAAAAGTTAATAGACATATTCTAGTTAATTAGCCAACTTGTCTCGACAGCAAGCCCCTCCGCATTACCTCCCCCTGGTCGCAGAGCTCGTCTGCACAAACTGCATTAGTGTAGTTTTCGCGGCTTTCTTTAAAGAAATCTGTAAAGCCTAAAAAACACACCCTGTACATTACCTTCCAAGTCGGTGGTTCTCAAATGGGGGTCCGTGAAAGCATTCTAGGGGTTTGCGAAGCCCAGCCTCGTCAGTTAAGCCTGGCAGTAAAAGTGTTCTTTTCTTAAATTGAGCAGAAACGTTCCAATTTGTGGGTGAGCGTTTTCGTGTATGGGCCAATAAAAGCAGACTACTTCACACTAGCCCTTAGTTACGGTATATTCATTTACTGATTCCTTATTATATTTAACCTATAGCTTTCCTTTCAACGCACCACTAACGGGGTCCTCCACCATCTCCGCTGATCCACAAGGGGTCCGGGAAACAACAACGGTTGAGAACCACTGTTCTAAGGCACAGGTTCTCAGTGTTCTTAGTGTTCCAAATTCACTCGGCTGACCCTGCCCCCAAGTAAAGTGTTTCTCCAGTTCATACGTTCCTTTAGCAGCACATCTAAGCCGTCCATTGATGTACGGTTATGAGCTAAACACTCCCTAGAATGCACATTACTGTTTAAATGGTCCATAGGCTTCTTTACTGCTTTATTGAATCAACGCAGAGGCCGGGAAGGGTCCTACAGCTAATATTCCTTGAGGCCTAAGGTCTGGAAACCCCTGTACAGCAAACTTCGCCCAGTCGTAAAAGCTTGTGCCTGCGAAATATTCCCGAAGCCCGCGGTTTGCAAAGTACTGAGTGCACGAAAATGAAGCCATTTACGGTATCTAGACACAAGCGAACCAAAATGAGAAAAACAACTAAGCACTAAACCTTTCTTACACCAATTGTTGAACCGTACGCTACACGGAGATGAAGATCGCTAAGGTTTTGCGTTTTCGGTTGGCACCGAAAGAAACCAGTAAACTAACTGCCGAGCCAACTTTATTGCAATTGGGGACGACCGAAAACTTCCCCCCCCGCCCCCCGCCCCGCCCCGCCCCGCCCCCGCCCCCCCCCCCCCCCCCCCCCCCCCCCCCCCCCCACAGAGTCAAAGGTGTCCTCGAACAAAAAAAAACCCAAGCTTCAAGAGAAAAAATCTTTCTACAGCTTTATTTTGTGCCGGCACGGAACACGGCCTACAACAAACTGTCCACGAGACTGCCTTCGTCTCCTTCTCCTGTCGGTACCCGGGACATTTTAAATGTAATCATATCACGACCATGTTCCTTGGAGGTTGGGTGGTCCTGCAGCAGTGTCCTCTAGGGCGTGTCAAGGAGTACCTAATAGCACGAGGGCTCTTAGCTCTGGTCAATGCTTCGCTGCCCACTTTGTACAATGCCAGATCTTTGCCTTTTTGCCGGAATCGCGTGCCATCCGCATCAAATGCCGGAAGTAGCGACCGGGAAAAAAAAACAACTTCTGACACAGTGTTGTAAGTTGGTTTCCGTGAGGCAAGTCTAACTTTAGGGAAGAGCGTTGCCAGAAACCATCGAGCAGCTTCTAAATTTGGCATGCCCCCTAATCTTAATTAAAGATAATTAGTTCATTACAAGGAGAGAAATATGCAGTCCTTTTGCTGCCCACTCCGTGCTTCCCGACTTCATCCGTAGGATTAAGATACATTGCAACTTTGTTTTCACTGTGACCCCCAACACAAAAGGTTAGGCCGCCTAACTTAATCCAATCCACGAGCCACCCTGAGGCAGACGAGTGGGACCATCGTGCCCGAAACGCGTCCGCGACCGTCGTGTTTGCCACATCCTAAAAGGCGGTCACCCCTACCTTCACAAACGGGACAAAGCCTACCTTCTTGAGGGCAAAGGAGGCGGTCTGTCCGCTGTGCACCTCCTTGACCGGCATGCGCTTGCGGTGGATCGACTTGACCGCCACGGGCTGGAAGTGGCCCAGGGGGTCCGGCCCCAGCAGCAGCACCTCGTTCAGGCGGATCACCCCCTTCAGCGTCGTGCCGGACACCACCGTACCCACGCCCTGCAGAAGAGCGTGAGTGGGGTGCGTCACCGCGGTATAAACTGCTACAAACAGACCTCGACGGCGATAAAGACTTCGGTTCGTCAAAAAAGAAGTGTGCGAAGTGCAGATATTCTCACCGCAGACTTTGACATAGATTCTGCCTCGAGTCTGTTCTAATCGGTGAGACTGACGAAACGAGAATGGATATTAGAAAAGAGCCGGTTTATTGAAATTTTTGAGCTTTGAAATTAGGGATTTTTCATTAAGCCGCAATGACGATCGTCGTTGCTGCGTGCTTCGGGTCGTACGACTCTCACGAGGCACCAAGCACGACGACGTCAGTTTTCAGTAGGGATGCTACCGTTACCGAACCAAAGCCACGTGACGTCCGAAATAACGACCACTGCCGCGTGCTGCAGGCCGGGCGTTCGAAAGAGACGTCCCATTTTTCTCCCCCTGTCGGCGACTACATTCCTTTGGATCATAATTACCGACGAATTATATTTAGGTATTGTTTTAGTAATGTCTATTATTGAACCCTTCCATACTTTGTTGTTGAATGCGGCGACATTTAAAGTTATTTGCCGACCGACGACTCGTTAATTAGCTTGGCAACCTGCGCCTAATTAGTGATAAAAGTAGTCCCTAAATAGAGTATTTTGAGGGAGGGAGAAAGGGGGTTGCAGCCCTTCGAACGAAATGGAGGGGTCTAGTAAATGAACCGACAGGCGTGCCGGTGAAAGTTGGGGAACGAAACGAAAAAACACGTAAAAGGAGGCACCGCACAAGCACACCGTCGAACTAACGACGCGCGAGGACATAGCGTACACTTTGGTGCTACCGAAGTTTAAAGCTGCACTTCGTATCAAATCTTTTCATATCTGAAACAATCGTTCGGGAGAAAGATTGGGGCAGGGCTAATCTTGTACAACCATCCATCGAGAAACCAATTTACGAGTCAACCTGACCGAGTCGAGCGTGCCACAGACAGGAAATCCCCGAGGCTGACCCTATAAACGCATTTAAAAGAAAACGGGAGGCACTCACGGGCACCGAGTAGGTGTCGTCCACCTGGAACTCTGCGGGGTCCGCGTCCAGGTTCGGCATCCTCGTGGACAGCAGGTTGAGGAACATCTTGAGCAGGAGGAGGTTGTCCCCCGTCACGTTGGACACTTGGAAGATGGGGCACAGCCTACAGGAGGAAGGAGAACGGCGCGGTCTCAGACGGTGCCACAGAGCACCCGCGCCAGTCCCAAGGTGCCGACGCCGGGGTGGTAACGCTTTTTTCGCGGTACGGCTCCTCCTTTTTTTTTTTTCACTTTGATGGCGCCGAAGGAACCACAGGCGTGCTTGGCGCGATTATGCAGGTAAAGCTTTCGACAGACTTTGCCCCGTTGGAGTGCTCATGGCTGAGCACGTGCCAACCGACGCGGCGCTTGTACCCAATTCGTTCTTCGCACTATGGGAAGAAAATTTGGGAGCTTGGAAAACGCACGAGGGTGCTCTGGGAAACCCCCGTGTTCCTGAAAACCTGAGGTTTTCCCCGAGATTCCAATTTCCCCGACCATCCCCGTCCTTAAATAAAATGTTTTTCCAGATTAAACGCCACCTTAGCAGATCCGAGTTATTCGCTGCTATGTTACGAGCCAAAAGCTAGACCAGCGAAGCTGTAATATGGTGGGACGACCTCACGGACGGCTTCTTGGACGACCTCAAGGACGACGCCTAGAGGACGACGCCTAGAGGACGACGCCTAGAGGACGACCTCAAGGACAACGTCTAGGACGACCTCAGAGACAGCTTCTAGGACAACCTTGAGGACGACGCCTAAGACAACCTGAGGGACAACGTCTAAAACGACCTCAAGCACGACGTCTAAAACCACCTCAAGTACTTCTAGGAACCTCGAACATGACGTCTAGGACAACCCCAAGGTCGACACCTAAGACGACTACAAGGATGACTTCTAGGATGACCTCAGAGACGACTTCTAGGATAACCTCAAGGATGACTTCTAGGACGACGCCTAGAAAAATTAAGCCTTTCCACACTGGTAAAAACCAGAGTGGAAAGGCTGGAAAGGTTGCCGCCATTGATTATAGATGGCAGTAGCTGTCCAGAGTTTTGTGGCGACATTTATTTGGTGACGGACATGAAACTGGGAAAACTAGCCCTTAACAGCTCCGCTGTAAAAGCTTCGGAACCAGCGGTCTAGTTTAACAATCTAACGATGTTCACATAGTTCAGATTGTTTTCCCGGCACAACTACGGTACCCGGAACACGCTGCCACCTGGCGCGTTTACCGCATCCAAAAAAGCGTTTCCTCGATTTTCATTTGACGACGTCGCGTCGTTGAAGTGTCGCGGCAGCAGTGGCAGACGCGTCGGATGCCTTTCGGCCGAGGGTCGGTCTCCAGCTCGACAGTACCCAGAAGCTTCAACAGCCGGGAGTTGAGATTACGCGACGATGGCGACACTTGCGTTCGGTCATACTTTTTGCTGGCACCTCCGGCACCGACTGCCAGGATTGCAGCGCCCGACAGCACGACACGCGGGCATCCGCGACGTCGTCCGTCGCTGGTTCGGCACCACCCTCGATGTACGGGCGGGGTGGGATGCCAAACGCGCCAATCAGAGACGCGTTACCAGTGTAAAACCGTCGCCGCAGCGGGGAGCAACGGCACTGAAGCCGCCGACAATTTGATCCCCACCTTTCGGTGACAAAATTGGTGGCGCAGACGACGACGTCGTCCGGCGTGTGGACCACGACGGGGATCTTGCGGCAGCCGGGGGACTTGAGGATGCGCACGAGGAGGCGCATGGTGTCCTGCAGCACGTTGGCCGGGCACATGTCCATCTTGGTGACCACCACGAACACCGGCACGTTCAGGGCCAGGGCCAGGCCCAGGTGCTCCTTGGTCATGCCCACCACCCCGGCGTTGGCACCCACCTGAAAACGCCACACTCATTGCGGACCACGGCAAGGGCCTGGCGTGTCGGGAGCGTGCGAGGCCCGAAGGGGGCGCGCCACTCTGCTGCCTCGGAAACCTTCCCGTGTCCAGCATTGCCCCACGAGTGTTCTCATGTCGTTTGCCCTGCAGGAGTTACTCGGAGTTTGGGTTCAATCGTCTCTCCTGCAGTTGTGGGAGGCAAAGACGGCAACGTACCGCCCCATTTTTTGCTTATTTGCACTAAAATATGCCTCATCGAAGCACTTGTGCCTCCGGTGGTCCGAAAATCACAATGGAACAACACTAGCCATTGCAGGTAATTTATAAAAGCTGCGTGAGAAATATTTTTCGCTCCTCTTATTATCCGATTGCTTTTTGCACGCTGGCGATTGAGTGGACATGCAGGGATTGAAGAGATTGCGGCCGTTTTTGCCAGCTCATGAAGGGGATCTGTGCTCCCCACTTCCAGGCCTAGTGCAAAACAAGTTGGCACCAACCGCGACTCAGAGCATTCTGTATGCGCCTGGCTCAGGTAAGCCGACGTTGATTAAAAACTAAGGTTGCTGCTACGCACAATGTCTATGCGAAATGATTTTGCTCAAGCTGCACTGTGGTGCCACTGTCCGATCGCACACTTCCAATAGTCTGCAAAGGCAAATCTTGACTGAAAAAAAAAGAAAAAGAAGTGAAAGCCGTTTACAACTTCCTGTAACGCCGAATTAGAGCGCAGCTCTTGAGGAGGAGGAGGGAAGGGTACTGAGGTGAAGGTATGTCCCTCTCCCCTCCTCCTCACATCCTCATCCTGTTGGCTACTCCTCCCTCCAAGCGACGTCGCCTCACAAGGGTCACGTGACCACTGTGAGGTCACGTGGCGATGACGTCATCGGCATCGGCATCGTCACTGATAACATCATCAGTGACGTCACGCGTCCCATAATGCACCGCGCGGTTACGCCGACGCCGGCGCCGCTCAAGCAGGGGAACAAGCGCCTAAGAGCTGCACTCTAAAAAAAAAAAAAATATTTTTTTTAAGCAGTTTGCACCCTATTCAACATATTGGCCCCTCAGAGACCCGGGGTAGGAACTACGGGTAGAGTGATTGGATTCGGAGAAGAGACTATCAGATAGATAGATGAAACAGCCTTCTTGAAGTTTCGTGGACCAGCAGCAACGTATCGGGGGATGCCGACACACACGAGACGCCGCAGTTCGACACGGCCACAGAACCTGCTGGACAGTTCACCACTCCAAAGGCACGCAGACATGAAGACGAATGACTGGTGACAGATGCCTATTGTGGAAACCTGGAACTATCACTGGTGTCAACGTGGCGCTCCGCTATAGTCAGTTACAGGTTAAGAAGGTAGCGGCAAATGCCCCTCAAAGGGAATCAGATATCCCTCCGCCACCTCCGCATCCAATAGCGTCCCACCGTTTCCGTGACGTCGCGGCCAACGCGCGAGGAGGGTCTTGCCCTTTTGTACATATTTGCTTTATCTTTCGACTTTGACTTAGCATTGTGGAAGCCACGAGAGAGAGATTAGAGTTCTCCCCCACCGACGGAAACAAATACGACTTTCGGGGATTAGCTTCCCCCCCGATGGATACAAAGGCTGCTTTCAGGGGCTCGGTTCCCTCTCCGATGAATACAAAGGTCGCTATCTTAAAAAGTGGGATCGGAGACAAGTGGGAATCCATTGAAGCGGAACAGGGAGCGTTTCCAGTGAACTCTTCTTTCGACTGCGGAGAGATTTGAAACGGGCGCATCACACTTGTGGGAGGAGCTTCTCCTACCTTCTTGACTTGTAACCGACTATAGTAAAAGCCACTCGCGCCGTCCGCGGGTGAACCCACTTCGCATTTAGTTTGATTCGGCTTCATAGCTTCACGAGTGCCCCTTGCAGACGGACCTGACGTCTGCCGCCGCGGTGGGCGACTACGTAGAAAATCGGCGGCACTTCGTGGATCGCGTCAAGACAACAAGACGACGTCGGTGCCGACGTACCATGAGCATGGTGAAGTCCGGAGCGTGACCGGTCATGCCGAAAATGGTAGTCTTGAGATAGCGCTCGTGGCCCGCCAGATCGATGAAGGTTATCACCTGCAGAGAGCACAAGAATGAACTTTTCGAAAAATATCTTTATTCTGCTCCTAGACGACCCTGCAAAAGCGCCTGCAAAAAACTTCACCCTAGAAATTTTAAAACTAGGGTACAAAAATTTTCCTCCGAGATAAATTTGGGCGAAAGCAAAGACCGGTGGGAGACGGGATCGTGACAGCCTGGCCGGCGGTCATCAAAACCGACACAACTACCGTAAAATCCCCGAGCCGGCGCCCACTCGAAATATGGAGATAATCGTGTAGAACTGGGGGATGGGCACTTTCTAAGTCAACAATATGTAAAGATATGTCCTTCGTGTATTTTCCTAATGTCATGAAATTGAGGGCCGGGTGCCTGCTGTGGAGTGGGCGGGTCCTGAGTATTTTACCGTAAGCGGCAAAAATGCAATAATAAATTGTTTCTGGTGAACTGACATGTTCCACGTTGCGTCGGGTTGATTCTTTTTGTGTCTATCCGGTTCTTTTTATCTTTTTATGTTTACTTGCTGTACCGTGCACAAGTAAATTTTTTCGGTTGTAAGTCAGTGCTTGTCCACTTTCTCCTTCCACTAGTCCTTCGTCTTTTTTTGCACTGTTTTAATATCATTTCAACATGACCAGCCAACTAGCCCCCAACTACACACCTTGTTCAAGTCTTCTTCCGGTAAAAAGTACAGCTTTAGATGACGTGAGCCTTCCACTGATGTACAGGGTGCCCCCTCCATAAAAAGAAGTGTTTTGCTAACCATAAGTATGAACTATGCATTGTCGAACGCCCCGTTTCCAGCCATACATAGCACTAGCGATGCCAAAGTTTTAAAATCGACAGTTACCTTATTCAAAAGCTAGATGATTTCTGGAAATTTTCGGTGGAAAATGATGGCTGACGACGCCTGCAAACGTGTGGGGCTGAACGGTGCAAACTACCAAGGATGGGCCCCATTTTTCCGTTGAAAGTTTCAGAAAATGTGTGCCCATTATTGTTACAAGGTCTGTGGGCTATTTATAGCCTATTGTATACTATGTGCGAGGCCACACGCTCTGCGGGTCCGTTTCGTTGCATTGAGCACTGTACATGACAGACACTCTAAGTGACTGGTATTTACAGGTTCCCCACGAGGTGCAACTTCAAGGGTGCCTGTAAGAGGATGGCAGGGAAAAAGTCTTTCGAGCAAATATAAAGACATCTACATGTGCTCCTTGCTCTCGTTTTTCCTCCTTTCCCATTTACCAAGGCTCACCTCTCCCCTCTATTTGCCCCCTCTGCTCTCTCTTTGCCTCCTCTCCACTGTATTAGCCACTTCACTCCCCCTTTCGCTGAAACGTATGTTGGATGGTTGAACGACCGTCAGGAAAGCACTAGGTGCTGGCCCTATAAATGCATAGCGTTACAGTCACCAGCATTAACATCAGGACATCATCCATCCTCTTCATAATTATCATCATCATCGGGTGGCCCGAGACTTGACCCGGATTATTTTAATCCAGCCTGCGTCCTGAGTGGACACAGTAATACCGTATTTTCTGGTGTATACGTTGAGTGTTTCCCACCAAATTTCCGTCGGTGCGACTTATACACATTTTTTTTCTATAGGTATGGGCCTCAACTGCGTAAATTTGCCACAGGGGTCATATTTCTCGTTCGATTCATTGACAAGAACATTGAAACTTGCTGTCACTTGTGCATATATTGCAATCATAACATACCACATTTTTTCGCGTATAACCCACATCTAAATTTATGAAAAATCAAAAGCACAGTAGGGGTGCGGGTCATTCACGAATTTCGGTGGGCAGTGCGGCTTCACGGCAATGGGCATGAAGTCGTAGGTATAGATTCCCCAAAGTCACTCTTCTCTGGTTATCCTAGAAACTTTCTTCTTTCCCCCTTCTCCTCCTCTTTGCGGGTAGCCATCTCAGCTTTGTTTTTGTGGGCTCCGAGACAGCGATCGCAGCTCTGCGCTGTCGTCAAGTCCATTGCCGAAGAGATCAGAAACCGAGCGGCAGGCCGGAACTATGATCGCTACGATGTTTAGTCGTGCACGCGAGAAGAAAGAATCAGAAGCTGCAAACCGCAAGCGGCAACTGAAGATTGTTCCGTGATACAAAGACTGGTGCATACCCCGAGCTTGAAAAAGCGCACGCGAAGTTCATCGAGAAAAGAAGAGGCGGCGGTCACGCGGCATTACCGTGACTTTTCCAGACGAAATAATGCGGAACAGTTCCAAAAAGTGCTGCACCGACGACGACGCTATTTGCAACATTCAAGGCGCCAGCAACGAGTGTATTCAAAATAAAGGTGTGGTTTCTAGCGAGATCTGGACATTGCTCCGAGTGGCCAGTCCGGGTAACATGCGAGGAATTTTTTTTGCTTTTTCCGAGAGTAGCAAGTTAGGGGCGTGGATTATATGCAGGGGCGGGTAATGCACGCAAAAATACATGGGATTTTAACGCAGTTTTGCTGGGTCGCCCGTACAAACATGTCGGTGCGACTTGCACATTGGTTTTTTTTGAAGGCAGCCGTTTATACGAGGGTGCGACTTAAACGCAGAGGTGCGACTTATAGACCGTAAAACATGGTAAGTACTTCCAAAAGCAATGACGGTCTTGCAAGGCCTGCATTTAGTACTGTGTCCGCTAGGGACACAGATGACGGTAAGGAAGAGAAGGACGAACGACGTTTCGATGGCAACGTGGGGACTACGAGAGATGTGGTTCTTCGCAATACTCTGTGCTACCAAGTCGGGGGGATGCGGATACCTTGGAGGACTGCTCGCAGATGCGCGTCCAGTCGAGCTGCCCCCCGTGGGGGTCCGGCTGGTTGACCACGTTGCCCCTCGAGTCGAAGCCCAGGATGTCGTTGCCCACACTCGAGGTGCGGCCGGACTCCACCTCGTGCTTGTGCCGGAACAGTTTCTGCCGGGCCAGGCCCCGCCCGTTGTCCAGCTCCCCGTGGGTCAGCACCCCCAGTAGGGTGCTCTTGCCCGCGTCCACGTTGCCCACCACCGCCACCCTGGGGCGCCCCCGAGAGAGGTTTTTATTTGAACGTGACTTATGAGAGCCCAACAACCCAGAATGTGATTTGTGGCTCAAAATGCGTTTTGTTTTCTTCCCAAAGATTGTCAATCGAGAATTGGCCAGTTTGAGGCGTGCTCATGCTCCTTATCGTGGTCACATGCCTTTCAAACTGGCGTACCCAATATATTCAAAGTTCCGGGTCACTTCAGTGACACATTCACTATTAAAATAGAAAAGAATATGAAACTTTTTTTTCTGCGGCTTCGGAAAAGCTGCAAATACGTTGATTGAAGAAAAATGTTGCACAGATGACCGGAAGTATGTGTACTATGTCATTTTCAATATGGCGACGTACCACGGGCTGGGCAATGCGATGGCGGCGCACGACGAACCAGCGTCGCGACAGACATGGGACCGCTACTTCAGACAGTCATTCATGGTACCGCCCAATTGATCTACAAGCGCAGGAAAGCGAGCGGAATGGATGCACGTGGGAAATCATCGCAAGACAAACGATGCACACAACATCGTCGTTGTCTGCTTCCCACGCCGGAGAAGTGCAAGAGCGGAAAGAAATTAGGTAAGGAGAGATAGCCAAGTGGCTTTTGGCAACTCCCCTTTCCTCTACTTTTCCCCTCCTCCTCGGTCCGCTAATCGGCCACGAGTCTCCGTGCTCAAGTTGCGGGTTCGGAGCAGTCGAGGTTTTTGGCTTTATTACAAAGATACGAGACTCTCCAGCAAAATATTGATTGGGCAGAGTCCCAACACCACGTGGTCAAATGGGGTAAACATGCCCGAAGGAGATATTTTTTTTGTGGGAAAGTTTTAGTTTGCGTTTTCTGCTAATGCTTTTGTAATGTGAAGCTTTCTTGTATCAGTCTATTTAGCAAACAGTGTCATTTTCAACTTCAAGTACTTTTTCACATTTACATTTATATTTCATGTTTTTGTTTCTTCATATTACGCATGCGTTTCGTGTGCCTGCTTTTCATGCAACACTGCACATATGCGTCAACGGTGCACCCTTATGTAGGCCCCCTGGCTGTTTAGGGGCACCGCGAAAGAACAGTAAATAAATAAATATAAAATCGCCTAACAAAAGATAAAAAAAGTTTTTAGCCACACGGTCGTAGGCTTCACAAGTGTGTGAAGCAGCCTCGATGGCGACAGCTGTTGCGGAAACTCCTCAGCCAGATTTGTGGCGTCGGCGCTGTGCCAGGTCGAAAACCTAGTTTCATGTTTACTCGAGAGTGTACCACCCTGTGACGTCAAGCAAAGCGCGCGCACAGGTGGACCTTTTACGTTTGGCAGGGTCGCCGCTACAGATTCTTCATTTTGGAACTCCATCTGTGTGCGCTATCAGTTGCGAGACAACCCATGCTAATAACAGCACCTGTTCCGATTTAGTCCTAAGCAGGGACACTGACTCGTATGTGGAGTGTGTTTCCTTTCCCACATATACTTCACAGACCACAAGGCTCTGTCGTGCGCGATCAAGTAAATAAAGAATGAATGTACGTCAGGATGGGTGTTATTACGTGCAATAAAAGCTATCGCTGTCACTTTTGCACAAACTGCGACAAAAAAGCTGTGAATTTTTTTATAGAGAATGCGTCTAGCACTAGGGTTTAATAAAAGGCCTCCAAGAAAGTACAATGCAAATGTGTTGCACTATATTTATTAACTTTGCGTCCTGCTAAACTTAGTGGAAAGCGTTTTCTCGGAAGAAAAATTGAACTGGTATACGATTATATGCTGATTCTGGTATGAATTGCCACGCTGAGTTCGGCAGAATTTAATGTCCGAAAACCTCACAATTATATGTGCAGCACTCGCTGTGCCCCGTTTGTCCCCCAACTTTATCTGTTGGACTAAGATACTTTTGAAAGTCACATGATATTCCCTAATCTGTCACAAGATTTGCGTGGAATTATTTTGTTTTCCAAGTGGAACATGTGTGCAAAAAGTGTGTAAATTTTTTTGAAACTGTGGGAGGACGCCAATGAAGCTATCACGCAAATGAGAAGCTGGCTAGGGGCCTGCACCCCCTAGCGAGTGTTTTCGACAACAACGGTTAAACTCTTACCTAATAAACAAAGCGTTAAGGTTAAGCCTTTCGCTAGTAATATTGCTCGAAAGTACAGTCCGTGCGACGAATGCACCTTTCGCAACCAACCACGCAAACCTTCTGCTGCAGAGCGTAATCATAAAGCCGCGCAATCCAGAATCTGTAATTCAATTATGTATCAGAGGTGGCTACATGGACATCTACAAAAACCCATAAAAAAAAAAAAAAAAAAAAAAGTTATTCTAAGAGCTGCAGTAAAAAGGTGTGCGACAGTTTCAGTTGGTGGCCACAGTGAATTCCACTCGTAAAGCGGTTGCTCACTATGTCACTGACCCCGATGCCCTTTATACGGCTGGTCCGATGTACACATGTTGGCACTAGGCTGACATAATGTAAGCTGTCTTTTGTTTTATATCTTTTTACTTCTCATCTTGTGGGCGGAGGGTGACGCTTACCGGAGAGCTGCGAGCTGCACTTGGACCAGCAAAGGGCCACGTGGGACTCACAAGCCGCAGTTTGGCCACCCCCGGTACATATGCACAGCTCGTGAAAGTCGAGAACAAAAAGCTTTCGCCTCGCGCCAGGACGGACGTCCCGTCAAGCGCGAGCAGATTTAGTGGCGAATGTCGACCGTCAGGATCGGAGAGACGGCTCACCTCACTTCGACAAAGTCGTTCTCCTTGGCCCTCCGACGGACCAGGTACTCGGCGGCGAGTCCGTCCCCGGACTTCCGCTCCCGGAGCAGCACGCAGTCGCACTCCAGCGTGGAGGCCATGCTCTGGAGCGTCGCCACCGACGCCGCCATCTCCTCCGACGAGAGGCCGGGGTCGCCCTGACCTGTCGCGCGCAGAGAAAACGCCCTCGCATCCAGGCTTCCTCCAAAATCCAAGATGACTTCATTTTCGCGGACTTTATATTTAGTGAATTTCGCGACTTGGGGGCTTTGGGAACGTTTTGCAACTTGGAGCGGTGTGCTATGTATTTGTTATCATGGCATGATGTATTTGCGTGATCCATTTTTCCAGATATTTTTAAATTGACCCTTCGAGTGTCGTGGGCGAGTGTTACTTGTCGGCTCGCTCAGGTGCGAGCACGAGATGCAAGCGACGAGACACGCTCGTTCAATCTGTTTTTGCTTCGCGATCAGTTCTCCCACTGACCACCAAGAAGAAAAGCAAATCTAAATTTCGGAAATTTCGGCTTTTATTTGCGATTTTGCGTGTTCGTCCGGCAACTTGGGTTTTAAAAATGGCATCCTTTTCTGCAGGCGATTGTCGTCGCTCGTCTCGGAAATTGTGCTTCTTCGCTCCTTGAGGGGTTTTCTAGTTTGGATGACAATGATTTTGTGCTTGACGATAGTGATGGGAGTGATGACTCTACAGAAGAGTATAAAAGCTAAAAACAATTCAGATGTCAGAGACAACGAGGTTTTTGCTTCGGCCCGGCTCTGGACAAAGGTGGACATGACAAGCTCCCCACCGCCGCCTCCCGTTTTCTCTCTATTGCCAAGCCCGTTGTCAACGTTGACCTCGAAGATGACAATCCTTTAGACACGGTAGGGTAATGAGAATTTATTTTGATCTCTAGTGTAATGAATCAAATCGTCACGGATTTCATCATGTTATAACGTAAATTTAGGTCAATTTTGAATCTAATTTGTGAATATTGTATCTACTTGCCATATATGTTTGAAATAAAGAAGAATATTGCTATCAAAGTGTGAAATAAGAAAAATTTCATTTCGGTGAAGTTTCTGCATAAATTGCTTGTCATTTAACGTCATCAAAATAAACAAAATCTATGTCCTCGAGAAAATTAAGTCGTTTGCACTAGTTTTTGCGGGGCACATAATAATGAAGAAAAGATGAAGGCAGCAGAGAATGCCTTTCCCCTCTTCCAGCTTCAGCAGTGCTGATGTCAGGCATGGGGAAGGAGAAGAGAAGGGAAAATGTGATGTCTATGCTCTCCCTTTATTTTCTCGCTTGCTTTTTCCAGGAAAAACAAAAAAGCCTGCCACATTTGCCTCACTGCATGTTGCACACAAGAGTAGAGGCTGGATCTGAAGCCCTACAATCTAAGGGTTTTCTAGCTACTGAGCGTTTTTCGCCAAAATAATTCGGCTCAAATGGTTATTAAGAATTGTTACAATCATACGCAGTAAAGCAAAGTGGCGGCTAGGCCTTTTCTAAACATATGTAACATATTTCCCAATATCAATGCAACGCAATACACTCAGCAATCAAACGAAACGCACCAAGACAGCAGTCATGGTGTACTGAAAATACTGAAGTCCCACGTAACATCTCTTTGAATCTCCGCCAAGTACCTAATTAATGGCGGCCCGGGCCGGCTCGCTAGAGGCAGCCCTTGCCGAGACTGTGAAAGAAAGCACCGCCAAAACTCGAACACGAGCAGAGTGCCACGTGAAGTCGAGTCCCAAACGCCCGTACATCCCAGGCTGGGCGAACTTTCTCTGCCAAGGTCTTGGCTAAGACGCTATTTCTAGCGAGCCTGTCCCTGGTCCTAAAGTGGATGTTTGATAGTGCGGCAGAGGCAAAAAAAAATGCCGGAAACTCACCTCCGATGCCGATCTCATAGATTGCCTCGCCGTGGCCTTTCCGTAACCGCTGCGACAGCTGTCTGGTGAGGGCGTCGTACTGCTCCTCGCTGGGACTGACGAGCGCCGTCTGCGGACGTCGAGAAAGGGAGAGCGGACTTTCTGTAACGTTCCCAGCTTGCCCGAAATAGCAAGTAACCTGAAGCGAGCTCATGTTGCATGCCATGGAAGACATCGCGGGCCAATGAAAATTATTGTGCCCCCCCCCCCCCACAATTAACTACTAGACAGAGAGAGCAGTGTAAACACCTGAAAGGGGTACTTCAACGAAATGTGAAATATACCTGTTGTGTTCAGAAATAGGCTGAGTATGATCCGCAATATTTGTAAATGACAATCGCACGTTTGTATTTTGAGCCTGATGACTGTATTTTATATTAAAAACGGCCCACTCTGGCAAGCGTTTAGAGAGCAGCCAGCAGAGAGTATGTGACATCCGGTACAATCATGACGTAAACTGTCTCGGGACGAGCAAAGCTGCGGCGAGGCCGATGTCGATAATATGTCTTAGCCGTTCCAGCCACCAAAGCAGCCGGAGCACGCCAGCGATTGGGCCACCGCAACAAACCCCAAGGCTGCTCTTGCATAATTTTGAGAGGGACAATAGCGATGTCTGAGACACATAAAAGAGAGTCTCGGTGAGAGGGTAGTTCCCCTCTTCTCTCGAGGTGGACGGAGGCGAGACAGACATCGTCACTACCTGTCAAGGTTCCTAGACGGACATTACAAACAAGGCGTTCATGATATCTACCAGGTGCTCTTTGCTAATTGTTTAATTCGTGTTAAAATTCCTTTTCGTGTCTTTTTTAACAAGGGATTGCTGTGTCTGATGTGATGCTGCTCCCTTGAACATGAACAGACCAAAAAATAAGCGCCGAAATTTCGTTGCAGTATCCCTTTAAATTTTGCAAACTTGACTTTCTCAAATTTTGCAAATTGAAAAATTGAGAAGTTAACAGATTGCTCATATCACTAAGCCATGAGTGGATTTAGCCCCACAGCAAATTGTCTTTCCCGTGAAATATAAAAGAAAGTATCACCTCTGGAAATTTGCAAATATACCATTATTTACGGTATCATAAGCAGTTCATTTAATCTACAACCACGCTTCTCACCATCAAAGTGGTAAAAAGTTGTTTTGAATGCAGGGCTCTGTACTTTCAGAAAATTAAACACTGCCTGGATAGCTGCAATTAAAGCCACATGTAAAATGACCTTTGAGAAACAGGACTTCTTTTTGTTTTGTTCTCACCTGTATCCTAAAGAATGTGTTGGGTGTGTCAAAACATAGGAGTCCTTGGGCACAAGTTTTGCTTGACTCGAGTAATCTTAAAAAAAGTAAAGTGAAACCTTTTCTGACTAGACAGAAGATGTGAAAACATCATGAAACATCCCTTCGTCTTAATTCTCGTTATACCTGCAATCTAGTTGACGAACATGACCCCACCAAAGTGTACACATTGTTTCTTTGCCCCTTTTAATAGACGAGCATATTAGCCTGCTACACACCAAACAACCGAGATAGTAACATGCTCACTGTTTTCACTAAAGAGGTCTAGAATAGTTATTGGCGTGGATAGGAACGCAGAAACTTTAGCAGATAGGCTCATTTCTCTTGGCCAGGGGGTGCGAACGTGTTCGCAAGATGTGCTCGTGTAATGCTGGCACAGACTGGCACTTCAGTACTCCCAAGATGCAATCATAAATGTGAAGCTCCCCATCCGATCATGCACATGCACGAGTCGTGGTCATATAGAAGTGTGTATCAGCATCTGTCCTTGCTAAAAAACAAGACATTTGAAAAAAAAATCAAAACAACAAAATAAGAGTGGGGCTCTCTGCTTCGGTATCCTATCAAAACGATAAGATTGCAGTGGGTTCTTTTCTGTTGTCGTTCTTGTTTTCTTTCATAACGTTTGACGCGTCACCAAAACGCAACCTAAAATATTCAATTTTCCGTGCCAGAAGCGCTGCTCGAAACTCGAAAGCTACAAGGCTATAGGATTAACCGTATTTGAGATACGGCTGCGTCAGACGAAATGTAATTGTTGAGAAAAGCTAGGTCACTGCGCAAGGATATAATTATATCCTTCATAATTCTATCTTAGCTGTCAGCCGCTGTGAGAAGTTAGCAGAATTCGCGAAGCAGATGGCAATGTAATGCTGACAATTAAAACAACTACCACAGTGAGCAGGCCTAATCTATCTCTAACATGTTTAAGAATACCAGCTACCTCAGCCCTTTCTAATCATCTACCCTAACATGAAATGAGGACAACTCCGAGAGTTAATCAAATTATCAGCATGATAACTTTATTGTCAGTACATATGCCATAACACAAGCATGCTATGCTAATATTATTTGCCCTAAACACACATGGAGGCACAAGACATAGCTAAGTTCTGTCTTGTCTGTCCTTATCAAGGCTATGGATCCAGATGCATTTGTGGGGCATGTTCCGTGTTTATTCTGAATAAAATTGTTTGATTGATGGGTCCTTTCTGTCATTCCTTTATATTTCTTATAAGTACCAAGAAACTTCCCATCTTGGTGTTCCTGGACAACTCTCCATCTACCATTAGTCCTTGACCAGCTGGCATTAAGTGGAGATTAAAGAGATTAAGGGGAGAACCATACAACAACACTGGGTTGTTATGTTTCATTTTATGCAATATTCCTGGCGTTATTGGGGACCCAGGTACACTCGCACGAAATGCCACTGACTAAGAAGCTTCTATGTCGCGGTATAATTTCAAGGATGAAAACGAAGTATTTCTTGTGGTCACCCCTTCGCAAAAACCTGATGACGTAGTAACAAGCATACCTCGGCGAAGTCACTCACGAACTCGCTCACTCACACTCACTCACGCTCACCGCGTCATGGTGAAGGGCTGTGAATGACTTCGTGAACTCGGACGAAGTCGTGATGTGAAGGGGATGTGACTTCGTGAACGCGGAAGGAGTCGTGATGTGAATGGGCGTGACTCCGTGAACGCGAAAGAACCCGTGATGTGAAGGGGATGTGACTTCGTGAACACGGAAGGAGTCGTGATGTGAATGGGCGTGACTCCGTGAACGCGAAAGAACCCGTGATGTGAAGGGGATGTGACTTCGTGAATGCGGAACGAGTCGTGATGCGAAGGGGACTGACTTCATGAACTCGGAAGGAGCCGTGATGTGACGGGGAGTGACCTCGTGAACTCTGACGCACCCGTGATGCAGTAGTGAAGGACTTCGTGACTCTGGTGTATACGTGATGTGATGGTGAATGAATTCGTGAACTGAATTTGTGATGTGATGGGGACTGAGTTCGTGAACTAGGAGTCAGGACTCAGGGGATGTCGTTATGGATTTGCTTGCGTGTGCGTACTCTTCGCGACTGATAGCCGACTTGACATTTGGAAGTGTCTGCAGCATGTTGGTGCCCTTACACGCACAAACATGCTGTGGCGGTTAGTATAGAGTGCAGACGGAGCAGAAACTTGGAAGGAACTTCTGTTAGAGCCCAGAACGAGATTCGTAGGGGTGGTTTGGTAACGTTTGGGGGAAGCAACTGCAGGGGGCGTTTGCTTTGGAGGACTTTGAGAGAGGATGTGACATTTTGCGTGTGCGACTGTGCGCGGCTTAAGCGCGAAATCGGAAATGGGGAGGGGACTGTGTATTGCAGACGAAGCGGCACCAGCGCTTCCCAGATGGGGATTGGGGGGGAGGGGGGGGGGATGTTTGGACCGGCACAGACTCAGCGGCGACTCCAACGAGTTTGGCGGACCTCCGGCTCCCTTGCCCCGATACTGTGGGCGTGCGTACCCGCGTCGCGTAGTACATGTGCAGCTTAGCGAACGTTAGGGGAGGCTTTGTCTGTGCGCGGCAGTCGTTTGAGCCTCCTGCATGGCCGTGGGGTTCCGTTTACACCGGCGCGGCTTGGCGGCTCCTCCTTTCGGTGTGTGTGTCTGTGTGTGTCATTGTGTGTGGGGGGCCGGGGAAGGTGTCGTTTTGCCAGTGTGCTATTCTGCCACGGGAGGGTTTCTCTTCGCGTTGATTGCATCTGCGTGTGTCCGTGCGACCATGTTTTTGTCTTTTGTAAGCGCGTGCGTGCGCGCACCCCTCAAGGAAACACAAATAAAACCGTCTTCCTGGAGCTTTTACGCGAGTACTGGTGCGACCCTAACTGGACTATACAATGTTGGTTTTCTCGCTCTCGCTTAATATAATGCTTACAGATATTCTATGATGCTGGTAATATGCGGCATACGCTCGTTTTTATCCGTCCACACGAAAAAGCGTGCGCCGGATTTGATCCGTTTCGGCCGCTTCCGGATTTTTTCAAACGCTATTTAGCATCTAAGATCTCGGGAAGGCTTGACGCTATTCTAGAAAAATCACGGAAGATTACGGGCTTTATCCATTAGCCGGAGAATTATGATAATTTTAAAAATGTGAGGAAGCAGCCGATTGGCATCACGGTTTGTCGCCCACGTTTCCTAACAAGCGCGCGGACATGTCCGTTGCAATAACAGGCGGAGAAGATTTTACGTGCTCTCAGGCGTTTAGGTGGGGGCTTCGCTTGCTTTTGCCGATAATAGTTTTCATCACAGTCGTGCATATTCCCGAGTTCTTGAATTCTAGGAATATGAACAGAGTTCTTCGATTTCCGTTGAACGTGAATATTGACTAAAGAGGTTTTTGTTTCTGTTTATTTGACACGATACTTGTGTGTAAAAGCCGGACCCCATCAGAAAATGTGCGACGAACACGTGGCGAAACTTAATCCACTAAGCAGCCTAGCCTTACTCCGTGAACAGCGCTTCGAACGCGAAGGCGGAGTACGAGTGTTCAAAGATTCTTGATAAAATTACATAAATCTTTTACAAGGGGGGAGACAGATAGTCCGTCCCCATTTCTGAATTTATCTCTTTTTTTATGTTAGCTAGTTTTGCATACGAACCATATCGGCCACATTTTTCTGGAGTGCTTTTCATTTGAAATCGAGACCACTCTTCTTACATAAGCGCTTAGACACTCGTCTCCTCGCTATTTTCCTGAGCAAGTGACTCATTCAAAGGTCTACT